CAGCAGCAGACACCAGCAGAGGCAATAACGCGGCATACTGACCATTTTGAAAACAGTAGAGTCGGAAAATTGGCACTAGCAAACTGTCGGGTGGACCAATCCTGTAACTGTCTCGTGGTACATTCAAGTCAGTTGTACTTGCATCATGAACATATACATCAGCATTCACACTCTTGTAGCTGGTGCCCAGAAGAAAAAATATTGCGGCCGCAAGGTGGCTTTGCAAGTCGAAAGTCTGTGCTTCTGCCTCGTCCGGCTTTGGCTCCAATTTTAGATGTCTTTGGCATGATCTGCATAGTTGATGTCGTGCTTTCTGCGATGCCATCACAGAAGGTCCCATAGAAAGGTATCCATGAAAAAGCAAATTCAATAGCAATGCTTCAAGCCAGGGGATATCAAAACTAGAACCGCAAAGGCGCCATGCCAGCTTGGCAAATACTGCTTCTGCTCTTCGATCTACGTCTTTTTCTGTTCTGTCTATGTTGGCGCTTGTCCTCGTGCTGTCCGTCTCTACGGTTGGTTCAGTTTCACGCACAGTGGTTTGGCGCAACAGACTATCAAAATGATATCCCCTGCCTTGCACAGAGGTGTGATTGTATATATGCAGCTGTAAGGCATGATGCTCGGGGTGCTCGAACCCAAGATGGACAAGAATCTTGTTCCGATCTGGGTCTGCCGTGCACTCACCAAATCGGTCGTGCACACGAATTATCATGTTAGCGCGCGCAACAGCCCGAAATCGTTGCAACAGAAATGTCACAATGTGCGGGCCATCGCGGTGCGCATCTAAATATGGAAAGAATCCCTTCGCGCTTGGAAGTACTGCTTGCCCAACCGCTTGAACCAAATGCTTTCTGCATGCAACTGCACTGCGTCGTCTTGCTGCAACATCTGCGCCCAAGTTGCTTGGCAAAAGACCTTCATACGCTAAGCACAGCATCAAGGAATCGATTAGGCAATTGTTGACGCCGTGTGACAGCGCCTGCTGCCACCTGAACCCTTCAGCTGCCAAAGCCTTTAAAGCTTGGGTATCAGTCATGCTTCGGCCAGGAGCATTTACCTGCGCGATGTCACACAGACGGTCCGCAACTGCAACGCAGTGAGCCTCTGTCGTGCTTGTTTGCAATTCTTTCCAGCCATCCCAAGTGGGCACCCAACTCTGCCCAAGTACTTTTGCTGCGTCCTCTGCTGTTCCAAGTCTAGATAACAAGATTGCTGCGCTTCAAGGTGCGATACATTTCATTGCGTTACATTGCAATGCATTGCATTGCATTACATTGCATTGCATAACATTACATTGCCTTACATTGCGTTGCATTACACTTCATTGCATTGCTTTGCATTACCTTTCGTTGCTCTTCATTGCAATGCAGGGCATTGCATTGCATTACATTGCATGGCATTACATTGCATGGCATTACATTGCATTACATGGCATTGCATTACATTTCACTGCATTGCATTGCATTGCATTACATTTCATTGCTTTTCATTGCAATGCATTGCATTGCATTACATTGCTTGGCATTACATTGCATTACATTGCATTCAATTGCATTACATTGCATTCCATTACATTGCATTGCAGTACATTGCATTGCATTACATTGCATTGCATTGCATTACATTGCCTTACATTGCATTGCATTGCAGTACATTGCATGGCATTACATTGCATTGCATTGCATTTCATTGCATTGCATTACATTGCATTGCAGTGCAGTACATTGCATTGCACTACATTACATTGCATTGCATTGCATTACATTGCATTCCATTACATTGCATTGCATTGCAGTACATTGCATTGCATTACCTTGCATTGCATTGCATTGCCTTGCATTGCATTGCAGTGCATTGCATTGCATTGAATTGCAGGCTTTCATTTATAGTTTCTTTAGGTCAATTTATGATTTCTTTAGGGTTCATTTTGTGTTTCATGTAGGGGTTTCTGGCAGCAATTCATTCGGGTTTCTTTCGGTTTCACAGTTTCACCTACGGTGTTTAAACTTTCATTTAAGATACAAACAGGAAAGAATAAAACAAAAAAAGTAGGATTTCAATTTCATGTAGGAATTCTCTTGATATTTACATCTCTTAAGGGTTTTATTTCGAGTTTCTTTTGCGTTTCTGTCGGGTTTCATGTAGGGTTTCATTTAGGGATTCTTTCCGATTTCCTTTCGCGTTTAATTTCGAGTGTTATGTGAATTTCTTATCAGAAAATCTTGTCAAGGTTTTCAAACATTCATGTGGGTTTCTTGAGAGTTTCTTTAGAGTTTCATTTCAGATTTCGTTCATGAGGGGTCAAAAAAACACGGGGGAAGTCAAACAAACAAGGTGGGGGATCAAAAAAAACAACGCCCTCGTATACTTTCATAAAATATCATGCACCTGTGCGGCGCAACCATGCACCTGTGCGGCGCAACATTAGCTGTATAATAATAGGGCCAAAAATATTGTGTATATATATATATATAACTATTATACTGTTACTTAGATCCATGAACCCATAAAACCATAAGATCAGAGTATTAATAACATGCACTCAAATGAAAAACCCATTTACACATGAAAATTCAAACCTATCAAATATATTTCACAAGGATGTACATAGCAAAAAGGTCGAGAACCTCAAGGTGCAACGCACCGAAGCGTTTTTCTGCCAGCTTTGCTTCCTTGCCACTTCTTCCGGGGTCGGCGGCAGGGGCGGCAGCCCTTAAATATTAATATAGAGAGAATTAAAATATAGTACTATTAATCTCTATAGACTATAGTAGTACTTCATTATGGTATATATATATATATTATATAGAGAGAGAGAGAGAGAAAAAAAAAAAGAAACTAATTAATATTGCCAACATGATAATCTTGGGTTTCTCCAGAAATGGGGGGATGGGCCCCCCTTTTTTCATTGCCCGAAAGTTGGAAAACTCGCTGGGATATCCATGGATCTTTCAAAAGAATCCTCACCGCCGCAGCAGACCTCTTTTCAATGCTGTCCGATCACAAATCCAACTCCCACCATTCCCAACCCAAGACCTTCTCCAACAAATCGTCGTTCCGCAGCAAAGTTTCCTGTAGGCGCCTTACTGTGACTTTCTAGCGGCAAACTGATGGCTACCCGCAATGGACATGGCCAAAGTGGGTGGTCTCCTATCGGTTGTGAAGGTTTGTACTTCCATGCTATGTAAAAAAAAAAGGTAAGTGGGTGGTCCCCTATTGGTTGTGAATGTTTGCGCACAAATTTAAACATCCCATGTCCACTCCCCACTACTTTAGTCTTCTGTTAATTTTGTCGCTTACTCATGTCGGCAGTCGGCATCCTATGCAGTCATACACCAGACTGGGCACCGCACCTCTCTTGCTTGATTAGGTCATCCCGGACCTTGCGCAGTCGTGAAAGAGATCTCTGTAGCATCTTGCCAGTGTCACTGTGGATGAGGCAGAAAATATGGCTCACCAAAGCTTGGGGACCCCCAAACCACTCCAGACTCCACACCCAAGTTTGTCCCCTAAAAAGGATCATGAAATGAGAAATCTTGTTGAGGATCCTAGTTTTTCAGCATGTTCCCCGTACACCGCCAATCATTGTTGGTTGTACCATTGGACCCCCATTGATGTCATTGGTTCAGATCCCATTTGTTGGCTTGCATTTTCAGATTATAGTTGTTTGTATCCTCACTTTGGTGGTTGAGATCCCCAATGAGCATTGGCTGGATTACCAAACATCCGAAACATCGATAGATAAGCAATCCAAATTCATTGGTAAGATCCCATGAGCCTAAGTTGGTTAAGTTACAAAAGAAATCTCCAGCCAAGTATGTGGAACCAAGTATGTGGAACCTGTGGGACCCACAAATCATCAAAAACAGCCAACATGTGTACCGAAAAATGCAAAAATGAGCTACTTAAATCAAACATGGCTTGCTGGAAAATATCCTCTGTTTTTCAATGATTTTCCCATCTATAAACCTCCATTTACCCTCCTGTAAACTGACATAGATGTGGAAAACCACCATTTCTGTAGAAGTTTCCTGGGGAAACCATAGGTGTTCCAGATCTTTTTGTCTGTTTACTCCATGGTAAGCCGGGAAGATGAGCCTTGGCGATCTCTCGATTCCTTTTGATCAGCTCCGCTTCCAGTTCGGCCGAATTTCCTGACGAAGTCATCCATCATTTACTGTACCATCATCGATCATCTACAATCAAATATAAGATCATAGAAACAGCTATAAACTAGTTTTAGCATATGTTGTATATCATGTTATACCATATGTGCATATATATATATGTATTATATATATATATATGTGTATATTATATATATATGTGTGTGTACAGCAGTAATATGCTTATATCCCCAGTATTCCATGCTTATTGCTGATATCCACCCTTAGGGTAGCACCATCCCCATGCCCTGTGGCAACCCACGGCCTAAGGCTCCCATGGCGCACGGTGATCTGAGATGATTCAACCGCCAAAATAACCACTGTACCAAGGTGAAAAGCAACTGCTGAAATGATCTCAGGAAAAGATTGAAACGCGTCGTGTCAGACCCATGTCTGGTGTGTCAACACATTCTTTCATGGACGATTCAAGGCAAGTTCAAGCCTTTGGGCAAGCGGAATGGGGTCAGGATCATTGTCGTTGACTTTCCCACCTCCATGAAGCCTCTAAATGACTACTACTAGAGGTGCAAATATGCAAACCTAAAGCTGACGGAGAAGAGCTTGGAACATGTTGGAACAAAAACCTAAAGGGGATGGCAAGGCGGAGGCGTCCCTCATGCGGCAAGCTTCTTTTTGCCTAAGGCAATTAGATCGGAGTCACCTCATTTGGGCGACATCAAAGTTTGCTCCCCTTGGAACAGGTCAAAACCTAGCAAAGGAATCCCAAGTGTAAACCAATAAAAAACATATCTATATCTCCATGTCTTTCCTCATCTTTCCTCTTCAGCAGGCCTATTTTCCAAGCTACCAAAAATCATGAACATGAACAATCACCAGCTTTCAAATTCCCCGCGTTTTGACCTGCACTACGCGAAAAACCACGCCATCACCACGCCATCACCGCGTGCCATCACCTTCTACGCTCATCCTGCTGTCGCAGCTTCGCAGCCTTGGAGCTCCCATGATCCGGGCGCTCAATCTCTTCGTAGATGGTGGCAATCATTGTACCTCCATCCTGCGATACCAATGGCCATGGAAGATATGGAATGTGTAATGGGATCCATGGGATAACAACTTGGTCGATGACAAATTCTATCGAATTCTCCAGAAAATGTGGGAGTAACAGGGGTTTACCATGGTTTACCTCAGATTTTATTGCCAGTGGCAGGAAACGAAAGTGGCGTCCTGCTGCTATTTGGGATCTAATCGCTGATGCAGCTGGTGATACAGATCGACAAAGAAATGGGATGAATAGCTGAACAATCAATGATATCACCAAAGAATAGCAGGAATGTCAAGGGATATTGATGTGGAGATATATATATATATATTAGGAATGATACAATCAAATAGTATCAAATAGTGGTGGATTATCGATGAATCATAGATGAATCATAGATGAATCATAGATGAATCATAGTAGATATGCAAAAAAGGACCACCACATGGAGCGCCCAGAGATATGTTTCGCAATCCTTCAGCTCACCAGCTGCCATGTAGTCATCGATGCCCACACCAATGTGCCTCGAATCTCATCTCTTTGGTCGATATGCCCAGGATCACTGGAACGAAGTCGGTATCCTCTGGTTATTTAACATAGCTATTGAAAATGGCCATTTATAGTGGATTTACCCATGAAAAATATGGATTTTCCATAGCTATGTTAGTTTACCAGAGGGTATCTTGAACACGGCTGGTCACAACATTGTTTCACTCTGAAGTTTTTGGACAGGAGATTGGTGAAGCCTAAAAAAAGAAGGTCCAAAAAGAAGGTCCAAAATCATGCATGATACTGGGACAACCAATGCACTTACAGGATCTTACAGGTACACTTTCTTTAAGGCTCACAGGTTGAAATGGCTCTACAAAGGCTACCAGCATGTGCTTCAACATAAAACGACAGACTTATCTCAAGATTTGCTACAAGAAGAAACTGCCAAAATGCACTGGCGGAAAAGAGAACCAACAAAGCATGTGCCGTTTTTTTGTCTTGGAAGATAGGTCCGCTACACAAAAATCAGAAACTAAAGGGTCGAAAAACTGGAAAGCATTGGACAACTGCGTGCTCTGGCCATGGCGTACCCCGCACCCACGAACTGATTGGAAGGCCTTTCGTCAGCAAGTGCTAAGCGCAGGCAAGGCTACATCTTCTGGGTCTCTGAGAGACATTTGTTGATGACATCTCTGATGTGAGAGCGCAGCTGTTTGCACCTGAGTAACCAGAGTCCGTTGCGGCAGATAGGTCCGGTCAGTTCCAGGTCCGGTTTCTTCATCAAGGGAAAGCCAGGCCCCATCGTGGATCCCGTCCACATCCAAGGCATCCAAGGGACTGATCAAGAAGCTGATCACTCTGATGACCAATACTTTGTTGCTCATCATAGTTCCTGAAAAACGGGGGTTGTTCTGGCTGAGCATCCTTCAATATCCTTCAAGTGTACTGCCACCAGAACACTTCAAATGGGAGATGTACGGTTTTTACGCAAATGCAATGCTGATATAGAAAATGTTCATGGTCTAATACAGAGTCGTGCACATTGGTTAAACGTAAAATTCTTTCTATGTGCAAGGTTGGTGAGTACAAAAGCTGTCCCATCATGTTCGCTCAAAAGTCAATCTCCACAACTTACCCAAGCAGCCTCAGTCTTCCGGCATCTTGATGTAGACTTTTGACACCACCGCCCACACGCCCCAGCTCATTGTCCAAGGCTTTTAGCTCGCGGGCGATGATGTCCAACTTAAAAATGTCAAGCTCCTATGCTGTCCACAGACTTGGATCAGGGGGAGGAAATCATGGTCATCCCACCATCGTGACTGGGATTCCTTACTGGGTATATCAACCCCTCTTAATGGGGGGAAGTGGGAAGACCATACCCCAATATGGGTGGATAATTGGATAATTCTTTTTTTGATCCATTTCTAACCATAGTACATCTGTGTTCAGAGTATATATCTGCGTCTGGTTTTTATCTCGATATATACTGGATCGAGAATTTGGGTGTGCTGGGGAGCATTGATTTTGTGAGATGACGCCGACTTTGCGAGATCGACAATTTTGGCTACATATGTCATATATGTATACATATACGTGTATGTATATATATATATACATATACGTGTATGTGTATGTATATATATATATATACATATATACGTATACGTGTATGTGTATATATACATATACATATATACATATACGTGTATGTGTATATATATATATACATATACGTGTATATATATATATATATATATATACATACGGATATATATATATATATATGTGCATGCGTACATATACATACATGTTTGTAATTTGGATGTTTTGCAACCCAAAAATGACCCATCAGCGGGTTGGGAGTCAATGTTGGTCAAAAAATTATTCGGAAACCAAAAAGGATTCTTCGGAAACCAAAAGAAAATTCTTCGGAAACCAAGGCTTCTTTGGAAGCCAAAATGTCGATGTCTGGCATATCAGTCAAATGTCTGATTCTTCAAAGTTGTCACTCAACGTTCCTTGTACTTCACTGCCATCATCCTCTCTCGAGCTTCAGCTTCTTCTCTTTCCCGCTCTTTGGCGGCCAGAAGACGCTCCTCAATGCAGTTTGTAAAGCCAACATTTCCAGGTGTAGTTTCCAGAAACGGGTTTGTCTGAAATTATGGGAAAGCCCATTGAATGGTTAATCATCATTTCCCCTGTAGAATTGCCATAACCAGTGGGGGTATACTTCCAGACATACCCAAGTACATCCAACTCCCACTTTGTCGTGGCTCTCCATTTCTGGCCGAGTGACAAGCTCGGCTAATCTGCTGGAGACGGAGTTGTAGAGCCGTTGAATGCCTGGGGAGTCCCGGGGCTCAAGGATGGAGGATCTGGATTTCTTGAAATGTAAAGCCATGAAGAATCTGCATGACAAACACATGCTGTCCTAAATTTCAAGTGTTTTTGGCTCTTCCGCCATCATGATCATCATTTCACCAATTTGAACTCCATGTATCCGAGATATCTTCCATTCAGAACTCTCGGGTCCATCTCCATGTGCTGTTTTTTCCTATTTGTTTCATCAGTCAGAAACTAGGCTCCAAACGCTTCAACTCCTCCGAATCCGCCTTCCACTTCTGTATAGCCTGAAGGAAATCCAAATAACATGCGAACCAAGTAGTGCAAGATTGGGTTGGCCCTGGCATTTCCTTAATCTTGGTCAGTCCCAGGTGATAACGAGCCTTGAGGAAAGCCCTGTAAGCAGTTCCCAAATCCAGATCAGGTAGCCATACCATCGCTCACATGTTGCCGACACAGTCTACTGAGTCTACTTCACATTCAGCCACTAAACTGCACTCGACACTTGAAATGGTCCTGGAGGGGGAATGAAAGTTGGTGCTAAGGTGCTGCCACGTCCCCAAGCTGTTCAAACTCTTTCAGTCGTTCCTTCAACGCATCAATTTCCTCCTCCTGGGCAGAGTTTTCTGGATCATTCTGGGACGGTTGCAGGGCGTGATTTAGAAACTGTAGGAAACCAAAACTGATGTAATTGATGTAATTCAATTTGTGGGGATCAATAGATGTTTTTGCTTGAGAACACTACGCCTATTCACCACCTACAATATAATGAGGTTGGGTGTTCAATTTGGACACAGTGCATAGGGTTTTGATATGTTCAATGGTGTATCCCTAAATCCAATGGTTTCTCATAAATTTCCCCATTAAAATTGCAATAAATGGTGTAGCTCCCCCATTTCAGGCGAACATCAGACTGTTGCAAATCCCAAATCCTCATATTAAAATATGCATTTAATATAATTTCATATATCCCCCTTGTTTCATAGAATTGGATGATTCGGGAAAATTTACAGGAAACCCCTATATTTGATGGAAAAAAAAACCATGGGTTTCCGGTGAAGATTTTCCCTTCAACCAATCCATTGATTCATGAAAAAAATCCAGTCCTTCTTCGTCAACCTGCTTTCCAACCGCTGCATCTCCTCGTGCGATTCCAGAATTTCGTGGTGCCCAGAAGGCTACCCAAATCGCATGTATATTATATATACACATTATAATATATATATATGTGTGTGTATATATATATATATACATATGTATATATATATGTATATATATATATGTATATATATGTGTATATATATATATGTATTTATATATATATATATATGTATATATATATATATGAATATATATATATATATGTATATATATATGAATATATATATATGTATTTGCATGATGCATGTAGATTGGAAAACAAGCAAGCAAGCAAACAAACAAACAAACAAGCAAAATATACAGGTAAGATTACATATGTGCCACGGTCAAAAGATGGAATATGGAGTATTGTCTTCCATCTCATAATGGGAATCCTTACGATGGGTATATAAATCCTTATTGATGGATTCATGGCAATCCCCCAATGTGAGCAATCCACCCAAGTTTTACCCATGGCACATATAAACATACAGCAAGAATCACAACAATACGTGATGATGACAAATATTAGATAAACAAGATAAACTTAAGCAAAGGGAAAAATAACATGAGTCAAGGGTTGCCAGACAACGTTCCTCACCCTGCCAACACCTCTGGCTGCAAGCTCAGCATCTGCATCTCGTTCGGCCAATTTCTCGCCCGCGCGGGCGGCTTTCATGGCCTTCAGTTCCTCCTCCATATCCTGTCGAGCGGCTCGCGGCGCAGTGTGGACTGCAACTCTGGCAGTTCAATGTCCCACCAATCAATGGATTGGTTTAAGGGAAAATCTACAGGAAAGCCCCATATTTAATGGGAAAATCTATGGTTTCCTGTAAATTTCCCCTTAAACCAATCCAATCAACCAAGTTTTTGCAACATCCCATGGGAGGAAGGATCCATCCAGGTGATGTTCAAATCACCGTTGTGGCTGGAACTCACAGCAGCGTGCATCAAACGGCTCTCGTGGCAATGCCCCCTGCTTCCAGGCCATCAGAACAAGAACAGTCTGGGCGCCTTGTACTTTGCCAGAAAATCCCGCATGGAGGGAACACTGTCGAACAAATACCCAAGGCCATACTTCTCAAACTCCGCTCGAATGCGATGGTGATTTCGCAAGAAGGCCTGCGTGTGTCGTTTCAATTCGTGGTCTACGTCTCGCAGCATGGGAATGTGCTGAAAAAATGATGAGGCTGTAGCAGGAGCAATTTGTGCTGAAGGGGATGCCGATCAAAAGCCACAACAAATGAGGCCCACCTTCAACGAGTATTCAGGATCTTCAAAAAGTTCTTGCATGTCATATTCCTTGAAAGCTGCCTCCCTTGGTGAAACAGGGAACCTGTCAATTTAGTCACTTGAGCGCGTCCTTCCCAACAAATCATCTGCAACATCGAATGCTGAGCTCTGATGGTCCATTATACATAGATTACATAGATTGTACATGCGCATATATATATATAGCCATGTATACATACATATATATATATATACACACAGTATGTGTCCATGTACATATATAATTATATATATATACATGTGATTCCTCTTGAATCACAAAGATGCCCAAAGTCTCACCCCAGTCGCTGAGCTCAACACAGCTGTCGGTAGGCCGATAACACTTCAGCCAGACGGGTGGGATCTCTCTCTGCTTCTTTCAATCCTCGGGATGTCATCCTGGAATATGGATACATCATGAAAAATCCATCTAAGGAATCTAAGTCCTCACCAAACTGTTGGAATATGTTTTCCATTTATTTTCATTTTAAGATGGAAATTGATGAGAAACCATGGGGGCTTGGGGATACATAGGGATACCATGGGGGCTGGCCACAGGTGAAATGTCCGGTTCATCATCAAGCGTCTTGATCATCTTACTTTCATATGTTCCATCTGTCATCCATTACCAGGATGAAGGGGCTGTTCCATCTGAGGATGTAGCAACCAAAGTATACTGGTTGGTGGTTTGAAGCCCTCTGAAAAATATGAGTTCGTCAGTTGGGATGATGACATTCCCAATATATGGAAAGTATTGGAAAGTCATAATCCATTCATGTTCCAAACCACCGAAGAAAATATACCATGATGTGACGTTTTTTGTGCCCATTCTTGTTGGTACCGATCCACAGAGCTGATGCGGGTTCGGGCTTATGGCTATGACTATGTTGATAAATGTCGATCACCTCCACAAGTTGGGGAAAAAAATGGGATACATGATATAACCCCTCGAAGTTTATGATTCAAATTTTGCTTTTCTACAATCCACCTTTTTTTTGGGGGGGGTATAATAGGGATTTCTTGGGGATATATAGAATGATTCATACGGTGGAGCAGTGGTCCAGGACTCCATATGTCTCCAGGATCTTCATCAGCTCTCTGAGAAGTCGTAACAGTCGACCCAAATCGTTGGGATCATCCAGCAGATACTCCATGCCTGGCGCCATGGCGCCCGCGCATGGCGCCCGCGCTTGCGCTGAGGGGTATTTCTATGGCTTGTAAATGCTTGTAATTAATGTTGGAATATGTTGGTTTATACACATGAATAGACTCTAGAAATCCCCCACTTAGAAGAATCCAGCCACAATTAGCAATCAAACCCAATGAAATCCGGTATATGTTCTTCATGGCTCAAGTGGTGCCCATCAGTAAACAGACTCACAAGTTGACTGGCTGTACCACTGAAGCATGGCCAAATGTCGGTCCCCAAGGTAACAAGGATCCGGAAAATGAATGAAAATGAGAGTCATGATCATCATGATCCAACAAGAATATTAAGTTGAGCATCAGAATCAACAATTTACATTGAAAACTGAAAACAGAAACAACAATAGTGCGGGGGAAACTGGTTGCATCCAACAATCGGGAACCCAAAAAAACATTGGTTTATTTCGCAAGCCAATGATGGTGTGGTGCCTTTCAAAAAAAAAAAAAACGACACACCCTCCTGAAGAAAAACGAAACGGGGGAACAAAACAGGTTCAAAAAAAATGATTGATATGATTGGGACTTTCCTATCCCTTCATGAACCCTCCTTTTGCAATCAAAAGAAACATCAGACGTGGTTTTGATGTGTTTTGAGATGTGTTGATATTCTCCCTTTCTAGACCTTACATCTGGTCTTCCCTAGGCCTTCCTCACGGAGCACACGTTCGAAGGCATTGGTCCGGAAGAGATATTTCCGCAGCGCGGGGAAGGGCTGCGCAGGCGGACGCGGTGCTTTGCCTGCACACTGGATCTGTAGCTAACCTAAACCCCTATGGAACTGTCTAGACGGCCTGCGTGAAACAAAAGGACCCAAACTCAGCGTCCAACCTTTGGGTGCAGCTTTGACTTTGCCATCAGTATCTTCCGAAGCAACTTTGCCTTTGGCTTTGTCATCAAGTTGGTCGTCTTCGCCTGCTTCCTCTTCTTCCTCTTCATCTCCATCTCCTTCATCCGGTTCATCTCCTTCTTCTCCTTCATCTCCTTCATCTCCTTCATCTCCTTCATCTCCTTCATCCGGCTCTTCACCACCTTCATCCGGCTCATCCTCAGGACCCTCTTCATCACCCTCCCCGACTTCCTCTTCATCAGCAGGATCTTCATCCAGTCCATCAGTGGTGCTGGCAGTCTCAAACTCTTCCAGCAATCGACTTTGTCCCGCCTCCTCAAAGACCTGCCGAAGCTTCGCCATCAAAAGTCGATCCTCTCCAGTCTGGTCATACTTCTGCAGGAGCTTCAGATAGTCGTTTTCGAAACTATCTCTTGATTGCTGGGCTTCCTGCCAGGTTCCACGTTTCTTTAGGATATCAACATCACCCAAAACGACCAAACAACTGCGAACAACATCACCCGCAGAAACCACCAGACAAACTGAAACATGTCCCCCCGGAAAAAAAAAGACATCTGCAGCCCCAAATCCTCGAGTTGTCTGCGCAGCGCGGCCATTTCAGTCTCCAAAGCTTTCAGTGCGTCGCTGGTGGATTGAGACGCCTGCGAGGGGAACGCATCGTGGATGGTTCAACTAATTAACTAATTTGATCTAAGGAATCTAAGGTCTCACCCAAAAATAACATTAAAAATAGTCTGGTCAATCATCCCAGGTGATGGAAAGAATTACCTTTCCTGAAACCACCAACCAGACTAGGGAAGCACTCCCATCTCCAGAATTGGCTGAGTATAGTGTCCCTGATCGCTGCATGCAACAAACGTAAGAACATAAGATGTACGACTCCCGAAGCCGCCAACCGGTTTTGTTTTGATTCTTGTCGCTGATACCCCTATGTTTGAAGGGTTTTAACTGGATTAAGTACTTTTAACACCATCTTTCGATCTTTCCGGCTTCATCTCCTCACCCAAATCACCAGGAGTTGTCCTCCAAATCTTTCTGCCGCTGCTCAAAGAACTGTCGAGCAACTTCTGCATCATCTATCAATGGCGTTTGCTGGAACTCCTCAAAGACATTACGCACCTCACGTTGTGATGTTGGGAGACTGATAGAGATGGGTGATGGTCAGGCTTGAGAGATACAAAGGATGTGCCGAAATGGGGAACTCTCTAAAAGTGGCAGAACGTAGTCTGCTTCAACAAGATTGCAATGGGGATGGCCTAATGGATGTATCTGACTCGTAAAGTCCAACGAGCCCTGAATTGAAAAAATGGGGACAAGCGACAATCCAATCAATGCACTGGTTAAGATAACATTACAAAACACCAAAAAGATTCCAGCACCTCTCCAAGCGCTTCAAATCCGGTTGCAGTCACCCCAACAAGTCCCCAAAACGGCGCCTGTCGGTGTGTGGCTAAGAAGGCATCCAGCTTGGTGGGATCCTCAAAAAGGTCGCTGAAACCATGACTCTCAAAGGCCGCTTTCATCGCCTTGTAACGCGACAGCCTGGGGCTAGGCTGTCGAGAAGATGGCTGGGCGGTGACCCACATATATCGCCTACTTTACATCCACCATGCTTTCGGGGGGGATGTCATACTGTATTAGGGGGAACGGATTATTTTGATTATTCCTTGTATGAAGATCATTATATATGACCATTGAACCCACATAGCCCAGGGACACCGCTTCCAGAGCTTCTGGATTCTCCAAGAGATCCAGCAGGCCACATCGCTCCATGACTTCCTGCTGACCGTTCATCTTGTTTTCGAACCACTGTTTATCAGATTCAAAGTGGTCCAAAGTGAAACATGATGGGCAAATTGAATTTCATACTCAGACACTCAAGGCGTGCAATCAGGTCGCTCAAAAAAAGTTTTGGGCCTACTTCGGGCCACCCAAAACATTCCAATTCAGTGAATCATTCTTGAATCATCTGTACCTTTGTACCTCCTTCCTCCTCCTTCCCATGATACGTTTGTCGCTTCCTGGATCTTCTTCATCAGCTCCAGCAGGCGGCCCATCTCTTCAGGATCCTGCCCCATGGGAAAGGCACCAGGCATCCATCACCATCCACGGTGAATTTGAACCCCCAAACAAGTGTCAGAACCATCTAAAGAAACAATGAACCGCCAAGATTCCCAGCAAAAACCACCAGAAACAACCATCCAAGAACATATCCAAAGATTTAGATAATCAATTGATACTCATACATGGTAGGTTAGAACCCTAAAGCATTTCCGGTCAAATCCCATCCAAATCCCCCAAAAAAAAGCATTCGACCATGCAAAAAAAATACTCAAAAGAAGATGGGAAGAGAATCCCCATGGTTTTCTTTCTGGTCAGAAGCAAAATGGAAGTTTCAATTTATGGGTGTACCCTGAAATCATAGGTTTCAATACTAAGTCATGGTCTAATGACTTGGATGATTTGGGGCCCCATGGCACCTCCAGCAATGCTTCCAATCCCAGGCGTCGCAGAATTTCCTCCAGCTTCGCCCCACGCTGTGTAAAGGCCTGGGAAGCAAAGGGAACTGAGGAACTAACAAACTAATGGGCACTCAGATAGATAGTTAGTTAGATATCATTTTAAGTTGACAAAAATTGTTTTATTTCCTACAAACACAACCAAATGGGGGGTCTAGATTCAATGACGATACACCATTTCATTTCGATTGGTGTCTATTCATTACAAATAGGTATGTCATACTCATCCAAACAGGGTTTTTATGGTGATGTACCCCAAGTTATTTTGATGGGGTATTCTTTAATGGCCCCCTGATTAACCAGGCATGTTGATGGGGTCAACAAATACGTGACTTGTGGCCCATCTACAGTGAAACTGGAAGGGCCTGTTGTTGTGGGTGATCCATTCGGTGATCAAGAATAGACTCATAGACCTCAACAAGTCAACTGGCCCATTTGCCATGGATTCTACAAGGCCCATTTCAAAAAGGCTCCGCAACTACTTGGACCATCCATGCCGCAGAGCGAGCTCCCAGAGCCTTCAGGGCATCTGGATCTGACAGCAGGTGCTCCAGACCAGCTTCTGCAAAGATCTGACGCAAAGCGTCCAAGGCGGCTTGGAGTTCCTGGAGCGATGAAGGTGGCTACGGCCACAGCTGGTGATAGTCATTGCTGGATACTGGTGGGACATCAGTCATTTCAATGTTTGGGATCAATCATTCTGACTTGGTGGCAAGTGAGTGCCAAAAAATGTGGGGCAGCAAAGGTGCAAGAAGGCCAAAGCACAATTCGTGTTCCCTTCATCATTTAATCAATAGATCTAATTGTTTAATGGAGACAATTCGCCGCACTGCCCACTGACCCTGGAATCACATCACCAGTTCATCAGGCACCTGGCAGGTCTTGTTGCGCTCGTCCAACTGATCTTCTGACTGCTGCAGCTGCTGAATCCGTTTCAAATATCCGCCGATGCGCTCCGCTTGTGTCTCCTTGGAAGGACTTGTCGGTCTCTCCAACAGTCAAAATCTTTATCCCCAAATACCAGACGAAAAGGACCCCCACAAACCGAATCTCAAGAAAGAGTTCTTTAGGACCTGGCTGGTTTCCTCAAAGGGTGCTTCTATGTGCTTCTTATATATATATATTATAAATATGAAATCCTCTCCGCACTTTTGGGCCCCATGCGTCAGTCACGATGCGTCACGGGTCACCCGTGATCCACTTACCCACAAATGTCCTCCTCCTGCTGGTATAGGATATTTGCAGCTTTCCTCAGGCCATGATGTGTTTCATGGATTCTGGCTGAAGCCTGTGTTGCTGCATGACATGTCAGTTGAGACTTTTTTAAGGACCCCTCGCACTAGCATGGTTCAGCTCATACCGTTCATCTTGTTGGGGTGAAACCTCCATTTGTGACTTCTTAGATGTGCATCCCAGGAATGGTAAGGGTTTTCATCGCCCAATATGTAAACGAAGTAAACCTCGCACGTAGAAAGCGTGTGTTCACTAACTTTGATGTTTAGTTTCCAATAAAGTTGGATATATGATCAGTCTAACCATTATCGACCAAAATTCATTTGAGAAAGGGTTGGTTCTATCTGATAAAGGGTTGGTTCTATCTGATAAAGATGATAAAGGGTTGGTTCCAAATCATGAACCACATGAACCAGCTATTCCAAATTATTCCAAGCTTCAACTCATCCACAGATGGTTCGTCCCCGCGCGTGGTGTGTCTCCACACCTGCACCCCGGCGTCAATGGGATGGGTCGGAGGCTACCGGTGACCCGACATCATGATGTGCCTGGTGCATGTGCATACTGATGTGCATACCTATACAGATATGTATGTGTTTGTACGTGAGTTTTAAACTCTATGTACATAATTTGTATATGCTATACACATATGTAATATACATATATATATATATACACAGTATATATGTATACATTGTTTGTCTTCGATCTCCGTGGATCCTCTCTCGGATTCCAGTGATCTCGGAAGCAAAAAAGATGCCCTCCCGGGGCGGGGCATTTAGAATCACTTGCGGAAAAAAAACTGCAGCCAAACATTGTTTATCAAGCTTACAGTTGATGATCCACTGCATCCCTTGGTTTCGCAAGATTCAGGGACTTTCTTTCCAAGTGACCGCTGTCCACAACAATAAGAATTCATATATATATATAATGTAATATGTATATATATAATATGTATGTAAAATATATGTATGCAATATATATATATATGTGCATGAAAAAATATGTATGTAATATATATATATGCAATGTAAATATATAATATGTGTGTAATATATATATATATATGTATGTAATGTCTATTATTTACATATGTATATATTACATATATATATATATATATTTAATATACAGGTATGTAATATATCAATATATTATGTATGCATCATACAAATATAAATGCAATATATGTATGTGATATATGTGTATGTAATATATATGTGTGTGTATGTATGTAATATATATATATATGTAATCAATATATATATATATGTATGTATGTAATATATATATATATGTAATATGTATATATATATACATGTATGTAATATATATATATATACAATATATATATATACATGTATGTAGTCTATTTGTATGTAATATATATATGCGTGTAATATATATATATATATGTAATATATGTATATGTACATATATACACATATGTATGTAGTATATATGTATGTAATATATATATATATGTAATGTGTATATATATATGTATGTACCATATATATATGTATATGTATAATATATTTATATATATATATGTAATATATATATATGTCTAATAATATATGTGTGTGTCTAATAATATATATATAATATATGTAGGTAATATATATAATATGTAGGTAATATATATATATGATATATGTAATATATATATATATGTTATAATATATATATATGTACTATATATATGTGTTAATATGTATGTTTGTAATATGTATACATGTCTGTATGGATCCGTTTGACTCGTCGCCACGAAAAGCAAAAGGGCAGTAACACAGCAGTCATTCACAACCAGGCTTCTCTAAGACCTAGCATTCGACAGCGTAACATATACATGTCATATATGTATGTAATATATATATATATATAGATAGATATATATATATATGTATAATTATATATATATATGATATACACACAGCCGCATTCAAACATTCCGAACGTCCACCATTTCAAGGTTCAGTTCGAAAAAAAGTGTCAGAGTATCCGTCATTTCTCGTCATTTTCATGGATTCCGGCATCCCAAGATATCCCAAGATATCCCATCCTTCAACTTCCGATCTCCGAATGATGTGCTCCAAACAATCTTGGACCTGAGTCAGGTGGATCCTGATCCAATGCAAAATTGTCCGAAAATTGGGCCCCCATGGAGTTTGTCACTGCCTCCCCCGTAGAAAAAGGCTGTTGATGGTCATTCTATTGGAAAAACATTATGAGAAATATATATATATATATACTGTAGTTATTATATATATATATGAAAAAATGATAATTCGGCCCCCCATCATCTCCATTTTTGGCCAGTCCAAGTCACTCCACCCGATCCACGCCAATCAAATTGGACACGTAGGGCTTGTGGCCGTCCTCCGCCGAGGTCTGTGCCATGTCGCGCTGCGAGAAGACCTGGATGGTCGGATGATGGCCGCAGACCCAGAAGTCGTGACCCAAGGGCAGCAGCGCGTAGATGCCTCGGCGTCACGATGGACACCGGGACTAGGGGCATCCATGGGCATCCGGGATGAACATCAATGTGGGGGAATGGAAGATCTGGGTAAATTATAATATTTCACTAACCTGAATTGTTGGGCCATTTGGGGATGATTCCCCTCATTAACCATGATTCCAGTGAGGTCGCAGTGAGGTCGTTATAATTTACCCAGGAAGATGCTAATATGATGGGGTGGATTTGGGGATATGTTGCCTTTGGAAAAAAATGCTGGGGAAAGCCCTTAAAATGCCAGCGGTTGATCATCATCTTCCCCAAAAGGGCGACCTTTTAGGATATACACCATTTTGATGGCTTAAAACCTATGATTTACCATACTTGGGCGGATACTAATTTGAATTAAAGTGCATTAAAGGTTTTGACCCATTCACTGTTGGGATCCAAAGTTGAAAGTTGATGAAGCCGCAACCAGAACAGAATTGATGCGAAGGATGATTGAAGCTATTGACAGAACGGAGTGGCAACGATTCGATATCTGATAGAATGAACAACGAAAGGATTAATGAAAACACTGTGAATCACCAGTCAATCCATGGCACAACGCACCGCAGTCCCTTGCGGTCAAAACCTTCCTTTTCTAAGCCCAAGGCGCCTTGAGCCAAATCAAAAGTGCAATGACCCATGCTGCTGGAATGTACAAGTGTGCAACATGAGTTCATCAGCCACCGAAACTTAAAGTTCCAGCAGCACTGTGCGAAATTTTCTGACGATGATCTGATTGCTTGCCCCGTGAAAGAACTTGTTCTTCTTCTTCAATTTGATATGCATTTTGTTTCATCAATTTCAACAATGGTTCTGAGTGTGCTTCTTCTGCCTTTGTGAGTGCATCTGCAGGATTCAAATTGTGGGGAACCCATCTGGCTCTTCCACCTACAGCAATTAGACTTTCCTTTATGATGGCAACTTCTAATGCAGCCCTATCATCGCCACCATGACTTTGCTCAGAAGCTAAGCTGTCATACAACGCTTTGGCGTCTGCCACTGCAAGACTTCTCGGGTCGCGGTACTCCAAGGATTCATCGGCAATGACACTTGCCTTACCCATTAATGACAACACTTCATCTTCTGATTTTTGTCGATCCCTAGGACGAAAATTGGAAAACCTTATGCTGGCCATGAATGCATCTTGTCGCTCAAGTGCTCCTGTTCCTGCTGAAAAAGAAATGCTTTCACAGAGAAGTGAGGACGATGCCTTTCTTCTTAAACGTTTGGACTTCCATTGCATTAGGCTCACTGGTGCCAGTTTTCCTTCATTCATAGTTGGATCAGTGAACCCCAACAAAAATCCGAACTGCGATTTCTCCTTTCCAGTTGTGTCAAAAGCACTATCTGAGATTAACAGGTTACGTAACTTGTCTTCTGGAATTGCGTGAATCTTCAGTCTCGTCGGAAATGTTTTCAAATGAGCGACCATGTCATTGGCTTGAAAAACATGTGACATGCATGGTTCAGGGAATGTTGTGGCAAGAATCGACGCCGTGGCTGAGGCGTCTGGCCTTCCTTCCCTGGCAGTCCAGTTCAACGAGGCTATCAGTCCTCTCAACTGAGACTTTTCACGTTCATCCAATTTGACCTTTGGTGCATCTTTCTTGAAGACTTTACGTGAAATAGAAATTGGTTCCAAGCGTGTGTATATGTATTCATCCATATGATGTTCAAATGAAAAATCGGCCAACTGCTGTATATGCCTACCAGCGTACATACACCCGTCTGGATTGTTGTAAAGCTCTTCAATTTTCCCAAATTTTAGTTTCTGCTCTAACTCTTGCATTTTCTGCTGATGACGTGGACCACCAGCTTCTGCAATGTCGTCTACTTCGATTACTAGAAATCCTTCTGTTTTTGCATCTTTGGACTGATCTGTGGATGGTAATGTGGCTACACATTTGTCATATTCATTCATTTTATACCCTAAGGTTTCGGTTATCACCTTGACCAAACTTCGTCGCCACCACGACGGTCCCGACACTAGGCCGTATACTTCGGTTAGTAGTAGGATCAGCTGGGATGGATGGAGTCCTGGCAGAGGTTCATCTCTCGGTTGTCTACACGCCAGTTTTCGTCGACGAGTTGTGGGTAAAGACTGTAAAAACGCGGTTTTGACATCTTTAATTCGTGCTCGCCAGCGACGACTAGCTGCTAACTGGAAACAACAGTACAGACTACTTGATAGCGGCGTCGGCGCTGATCGCTCCACCTCATGCACGTCGGGGTCTCTCCATCCGACACAGCACCACCTACTTTTTGGACTGGTGTGGTCTTTCTCTAGGGGGATGGTTTCCATTCTACCTTCTTCTAAGGCTCTTCGCTTGTACAGTTCTAAACTCTTAGGGTCAATTTCCTTTGGTTTATACCTGTCCACAAATCTTGATTCAATGATTTGTTTTGGGAATTCTTGGCGAAACTTTTCACTTTCTTCTATGGATAGGACTCTGACAGCTCCATTTGCAATCAAACTATCCATTTCTTTCTTTCTGGCTGCTCTAAAGATTTCTTTCTCTTTCTCATTCAGATTCCTAAACTCAACCTGACCAAACGATGTTTTGGCTTTGGTCACGTACATGCACTTGTCACGAAAATGATATGATGCTTCTGCTTGGCTTGAGTCGAACGTGTAGGTGTATTCTGGATGCTGCTGAAGTTGCGTGCAATGATGCTGTCGTGAAAATTTCCATGTGGCTCCGACAAACTTGTGTTTTACACCTAGTTCTTTTAACACATCCTCTTTATCAAAATTCGTGACTTCTACATAATACGTTCTACCAGGCGGAGATGGCAAGGAAGGAGGCGGCGAAACGTGAGGATATGGCATGGGCCGAGGCATAGGTCCTAAGCTCATTCTACCATAATTTCCTTCGTCTACCATGATTCTCCTATGACCAGGATGGTTTTGGAAATCAACTGGATTTGATGTCTCGGCAGCTACTTCACTTGGCACATCGACAATGCTGGTGCGTCGGCTCACATCTTCTGGCATTTCAGTTGCTGTCTCTACCGCACCCTCACTGCCAATTCGAGTGCTTTCATCGTCCGGCTGGACGTCTTGGTCTGCCTGAGCATCTGGCGCTTGCTGTTCCACAATTCTGAGCACACGAACTAGGCCATCTGGGTTTTCATCTTCATTTGGCACATTCTCATGAGTTATGTCTTGATAGGCTAATTGACCTTGTCTTTCAACCTTTTCAAGCATATCTTTAGATAACTCAGTGACCAGTTCGGCGCCTAACTGCTCTTCTGCCGTAGCAATTCGAATTTGTTCGCGTGATGCTTTCCACAATCTACCCCTCATGGATATCCACCAGGAACGGTGAGTTTCGGTTTCAGCAATCAAAACACCGGGACCAGTCCATCCCCTATAGGAAGCATTGTCGCGGTAAACATAAACCCACATTCCTGGATGCAGTGGTTTGGCATCGGCACTTCTGGTGTTGGCTCTGAGACTTCGCTGAATGGCTTCTTTGTCTTGTCGTTTCATCCAGGCTTGAGACGCGCATTCACGGATGTTCCAAATTCTCTGAATTGGATCTGAAGCTGAAGCATCTACTAGCTCTTGATTCAAAACGTCACTTGACAAAAGAGAAGCTGGAAAGCGAAGATTCTTGCCAAACACTCGCTGCATTGGACTGAAACCATATCGATCCATGAAACGGTTTCTGGCTGCATTGACTTCGGCAACTGCAACTGGTAATTCTTCACGATGGATAGACATCTGATCGGTTACTGCCTTTAGTTTATCCTTAAATATTCCTCCGGCCTTTTCGGTTCGGCCATTTTGCCATGGTGATTCTGGATCTGTGTAGTGGATGGCTATCCCAAAACCCCCAATAGCTTCTTGGAATGTTTCTGAGAGGAACTCGGACCCACGGTCTGCAATGATTAGTTGTGGTGCCCCATAATGTTTTATCCAGTCATTCCAAAACGTGACACTTACATCTTCTGCGGTTCGACCAGGACAGATTGCAACTATCTGGAAATTGCTACCCCAACACAGGCAATTCAACAACGTGATGGTCTCATCATTGAAACGGAAGAAACATAGGTCAACCCCCACTACCATGTTGAACTCCAGTGCTCGGGATAAATGGCCTGGTCTAGCTGAAGTGGGTCTGGGCTGAGATTCACATGTTGGGCACCGAAAGAACCTTCGGGTCCAGTCCATCACTTCTTGACGGACGCCGGCGTGTTTCAACGCCCTGAGAAACACTTCTTTGGCTGGGTGGCCCAGATTCCGATGCAAACGATGAACCTCACGGCGCAGCTGGGGAGCGAGGGAAAACTCTTCATCATCCACTTTTCTAAAATCTTCTACTTTGGCAAGCGCTGACTCAACATTTTGGTTTTGAGACACATCTCTTAATTGATTTTGAACTTCAGCTACAACTTCATCATCTACTTCAGTGGAATCTTCTGCAATGGTCGGCAACCTACCATTCCTACGAGTTGGAAATGTTGACTGCAGGTAAATGTCCATGCCCTGCCGTTCACATTCCTCCACGTCCAAGATTTCCTGAGCATATTCCCAAGTGCAGCTACCCAAGGACCTGCCTCGAGTGAAAAACTTTCCGCCATCTTCAGCCTGCGACAATTTCAGGGCGTGTTTGATCCCCTTGAGAATGCTGGTTACAAGATCTGGCGGGTAGATTTCCGCTGCTTTGGCCGTTCCACCTAGAAGTTGACCATGCCGATGGGTTTTAGAACACCTACGCTCGACAAAGTCTGCTAAGTGCTCTACATTTGTCAGAAACATGGTTGGCTTCTTTGCAGGGCACCCGACATCAGGTCCGGTGGCAATTGTCAGTCCAAATTCGCACTGGTCAAGGCAAATTCTGTACACTCCAGGAAGCTTTGCTAAGGAATGCGTGTCTTGCTGATGCCACGAACTTGCACCAAGAGGATGCTCTAGAATGAACCCTCGACCATTCTCATGTTGTGCTTTTGCAATTGCTAGGGCAAACTTCCAATGCTGCAGACCTTCTTGACGTTCAGAATTGACTACCTCCTTTGATCTTTTGGCATCGGAAAGACTCCTCAACTGCGAAAACACAGTACACGGTGGACTGAGCATAATTACCGCGGGTCTTACCCTGTTAATCATTTCTAATGCTTGCTTTCTATGGTTTCTAAGGCAGAAATTCCACCCTGTTGTCAAATCCATTGCCATTCTGCCACTCAGGCCATGTTTTGAAGCTTGACTGGTCAAGCGAGGAGGACTATACACTTCTCCTACATCGCTCAGGTAGCTTCTCAGTCTACGGGCTAGCAATCTTCGATCATCTCTGGTAACAAAAGCAGGAGTGCCTTCAAAATCTGTGCGACAAAGTTCCTGAGTGCTGTGCGTCAAAAGAACTTGGTATTGGTTCCCTGGCAGATCGTTGTGTCCGTTCAAACTGAATCGAGGTCCAAGCCAATCCAAATGATCGGGTTGAGTCTCGGCTCTACCAAACCAGGAAATGACGACAGCCGCAATGAAGACACTGGCTGCCTTTGGTTTCACTTTCGTGGTGCGATTCGTATGGACCTCACGTCCCATGGTCACTGAGCTTCCTAAGCTTGGCTTGATGGGCTCAGCACTGTGAACTCGCTGCCTGGACTGGCTGGGATCTTGCTCTTGGACTCGTCGTCCGACGAATGAATTTCGAAAGCCTCCACATTCTTCTCGAATTGAGGTGTCCGAGGTCGAGATCTCTCCCTCATTGGCCTCACACCACTGGACATGCTTCTGCTTCTCCGCGATGCTGGTGTCATCGGCGGCCCGGTCCACACATGTAAAGCTTCGGGTGGTGTCATGGGCATTTGTAGAGTTCTTGGAGTCAAGAATTCCGGCAGTGGTGGTTCCGGTTCCACGCTTTCGGCTTTGGGATTCGTCGATGGTGGAGCTTTCTTGGGTTGAGCAGCCCTGGATACCAGTTTCTTGTCTTTCTGAGCTGTGAGATATTTGGTCATTCGGGCACTGGGGCTCAAACTGGTTTCTTCCCGTTCCTTGGCAAGTTCCAGGGTTTCGTCCAGAGTCAACTGACGAAGGTCCTTGCGACCCTTCGGAGGAGGCAGCACACTGGGATAAGCTGTCTTGGCCCTGGAGCTCACGATCACTGAACTTGAACTGGCATTTTCGCTCGGATTCACGGCATCCCCTGACCATTCCAGTCGTTCCCACCTGCTTCCACACGCCAGGCATGTCCACCAGAAGAAATCTTTGGTGCCCCTTTGGCGAAGCTGATCTGCGTCGTGAACACAGGTGGATGGATCTGAGGACCAATTCTTGGAGGCGGTGGAACGGGCCAGTTGGCGTCCGATGCTTCGGCGCAACTTGCTCTTGGCTGAGGCTTTTGATGTGGATGTCTTGGCTCGTGGGACTGGCTCGTCCTCGATCCGACGGTTGCGGTTCAGAACGTGATCCAACACCAATTGTTTCTGCACCGACTCCATCATAGTGAAAATCAGAGCTACCATACGGCTCCATGCCAGCAGACACTTGGCTGCTCCCATCTTTCGAACCGCTGGGACTTCCGGCTCTTGGGATCGCAGCTGTTTCTCGATTCGACTTCTCATGCTCATGATTCGAATCACTATCCCTATGCTGTGAATCTGTCACCACTTGAGATTGGAATTCTGCGTGTGGCGGACTTGCATTCGACAGTGGAGATTCATGTGATTCATGCACTATCTTACCTATTTTGTTTATCGAACTGTCTTGATTCTTATCAACACACTGCAACACCCGGCTCCCATCCGTTCTGGCCTGGTCAAGCGACATGCTTTGGCCAATGTCTTGGACACTGCTTTCATCCACCTTCGGGATTATTGCTTCTTCAAAGAACACTTCACCATGCCATGACTGAAACTTTCGATCTTGAGAGGCACGTGCATTCCAAACGTCCTTTACTGAATATGTTTGACCATCTGGAAAATGCATGATTGACGTGCGACATGTTGCAATGTGCTTACACTGGTCTTCGGACAAAACGTCTTTAGGGTGAATCAAACTGGTTTGCATGCCTATCTTATTGATGAAATTGAGCTTACCGTCTGCCATCTTCAACCAAACCGCAACACCCGGTGCTTGTCGAGGTCCTTTGGACGTCGATCTGGCCTCCAACAAGAAAGGATCTTCCTGACCAAGTTGAAGTTCTTCTCTCAGATTTTCTGGGAGTTTCCAGCGGCCACTGAAGTCGGTTACCAACACTGCACGGTGGCCAGATGGTGTGCGTCTCATGGGAGTAGATCGGCCATTTCCCAACTTCAACACTTCGCGCTTCAGGTTGATTTCAGCATCGAGTAGTTCCAGGTAAGATACTGGCAGCAGAAATGGCGTCTCAAACGTTTCTGAGTCAGCTGTTTCGGTCACTCGAAGCAGTCCAGGAGTCTTAGCAACAGAGATCGGCACATCCCACAGTCCCACGATGTTAGCCGAACCCCCAATGCCAGCACAGTTGACTGATGCGCCAGCCGCTTGACATGGTTGCAAGCCACGTTGCGCTAGTGTGTGTTTCAACCGTTGCATGGCATTTGACCCGATTACAGCTTCTTCGGCTGCAGTATCTACCAGAGCTTCATTCGAATTCACTCGAACTCCGGCATAAATGGTCAACGTTCGCTGCAACTCTGAAGAAACACCAACAAAAGCACTCATGCAACGTGTGTGGTAGATGCTGTTGATGCGACCATATGGACCTTGGCTGACGAAATAGCTGGTGCCTGAGGCTGCACTTCCACCGCCCTTGCTTTTGTTTGGACAGTCTTTGGCTATATGGCCCATTTCATGGCAGGAAAAACAACGGGTCCTTGCAAGCAGTTCTTCGGGAGAACCACGGTACTTCTTCTTGTCTTTCCAACCATCTGACTTCTTGCTCTTGCCTTTGCCTTTTTCTTTTCCTTTTGGTTTGAAAAACTGTCTTCCCTTTCGTCGGGCTTGCATTTCTTTTCTCACATCTTTGTATGCCATGTTGTATGCCCAAATGTATTGGATTTCTGATTCATCGTATTCTCTTTCAGGGTCAAACATTAACTCCGCAAGACCCCCTTCGCCATCGCTCTGTAAATCATCAGAGTCCTCAGCGGCATCGCCTTGGTCAGGGATCATCTCTTCGTCGTCAAACTCACCTGAGGCATGTTGCTGGGAAGGATGGTCAGCAACCAAGAAATGCTTTGAAACTTTCTGCAAAAGGGCTTCTGGTCTGTCCAAAGGTCTCAAAGCTCGGGACACTGCCTCGAAACTCAACAAGGCATTGTGTTTGATGGCCAGATTCTCACGCTGCAAATCTGTCAGATTGGCATGCTTCAAAAGGATCCGGCCAGCAATCTTGGTTGGAATCCGTTCACCAGTGTTGTTGAAAACTTCTTGAAGTGCTGTTTCCATGGCTGTGATGTATGTTGAAAATGTCTCATTCTTTCCACGCTCAATTCCAAAGAAAAAGTGATCAATTGATGCTGGTCCCACTGCTTCTAGGAAAGGAGCATATCCCGCCATGATCTGTGACAAAATTGAAGAGTAACCAGCTTCTGACAACAACACCTGAGTATCAATCGATTCAGCGATGCGTCTTGGCGGCGTTCCTTCAGGAAAAGCCTGAAGTAGCTTCAAACCCCATTTGTTTCTAGGTGTCTGGTTATCCAACTCCCAAAATCCAAGTTGTTTCAACCATGGCCGCAGATTTTCTGCAGCACCAGACCAGGAAGGAGGATTGCGACGATCACCAGTGATGGCCATGTGCAGTGCTTTCAACAACACATCTTGTGAGTTTTCAGGATTCTGACTGCGTTCGGGCACTGTCTTGCCCAACACCGAGAAAGCACTAGGAAACTCTTGCTGTTGCTGAGGCACTGAACCAGCATCCAGAGCACTGGCGAAAGCTGCTGCACCAAACTGAGAAAAATTCCCTTGAGGAATGTTTGAAGTCTGAGGCATACCCATGTTACATGGTTGTGAAACACGTTGTGAAGGACCACTCATGTGAGGTGGCCCCATTGGCGTCTGTTGTGATGCCTGAGGCGGATACGTTCCAGTCATGCCCATGGTTGGCAAACCTACTCCTTGACTAGGTGCAAACGACATGGGGGTTCCAGCTGGATACGCCGGCATGGCACCACAAGCATTCATTGGGCTCATAGGTTGATTACCAGGAAAAACGCCTGGCATAGTAGATCCTGCATTCCTTTCAGAACAACTGTTGAAGTGAGGATATCCTTGCACTCCCGCAGCAACCCCTGAAGAATGCCCTGCACTACCGCTGGAGTGTGACCCGGGTAAACCACAGCCACCTACTGTTGTCGCCAAGACTCTAAACGCACCATGCGCAGAACCCGCAGTGAATGAGGTCGGTGAAAAACCGCCTACTTCCGATGTCACTGAGGGCTGCGGCGGTGACGCGTCTAGACCTTGAGCTCGTCTGTATGTCGCCCAAGGATCAGGGTCTGTCATCCCTTGTCCCTTTCCACGACCAACAGCGTTCCAAGTCGGCATGCAGCTGGATCCAACACAGCTCCGCTGCCACTATTGACAGAACGGAGTGGCAACGATTCGATATCTGATAGAATGAACAACGAAAGGATTAATGAAAACACTGTGAATCACCAGTCAATCCATGGCACAACGCGCCGCAGTCCCTTGCGGTCAAAACCTTCCTTTTCTAAGCCCAAGGCGCCTTGAGCCAAATCAAAAGTGCAATGACCCATGCTGCTGGAATGTACAAGTGTGCAACATGAGTTCATCAAAGCATCAACTCAGCCACAAGGACTCGCTGAGTTTCCAACCTTTCTCACTGCCGGGGGGTGCAACTTGCCGAAGACACTCTCGCTTCTCCCCAGTCATGTTCCACTCCTGGAAAATCCAGTTGGGCAACAAGCGCCGAAAAAAAGCACACTAGACTCTAGATCAAATTGCTACCCAACTGGAAGATGACCATTGATCCAACCTAATCCAATCTTATCCAATCTACCCTCTGGTAAACTAACATAACTATGGGAAATCACCATTTTTCATGGGAAAATCCACTATAAATGGTGATTTTCCATAGTTATGTAATAGTTTACCAGAGGGTACATCAAATCCCATCAAATCCAAGTTAATCTACACTAACGCGCCTTGATGAGGCCATCAGATCCAGCTGACCAAACGAAGCATTTCACCACCGTGAGCCTGGGCGAGGCGAGGCGGTGCAGAAATATGGGAAACCCAATGATAAACCCCCCCAAAAAAAAGGAATAGAATGGGTATGTGGTGAGAAATCTAATGATATTTAATATAATGGGATTATAACAGTGTACATACATTCTGCATATATGATATACATATGTATGTATGTATGTATGTATGTATGTATGTGTGTGTGTATGTATGTATGTATGTATGTATGTATGTATGTATATATGATATACATATTGTTAAATATCAATATATATACATATTTAATGGAGAAATAAATGGGACATACTGGGTAACACAGTCAGAAATGCAATGAATGGGAAACCCACGAATTTTCATTTAAGAGAGTAGAGATTAGTACATGATGGAGATATAATCGGATATAATGGGGAAATAATTGGGAAATCATGGATATTGTAATGGGATTTAATGGGGTGTTCTTTACCAGCAATATGATATTTTTGATGCGTTAAACCCAATGATAAACCCCGCATTGAGGATGTAGATTCTCCCAGCTATTTCTATACTAAAATTATGCAATTGTGCAAATTATGGGTTTGTATATTATCTATTATCTATATGTGTATATATGTCTCATAATATGTATATATATATATATATGCGTGTGTGTGTGTGTGATTGTGTGTGTCCTTTGCTCCAGCATGTTATGACCAACCCCATTCCACTGTTACATGTTACATGTTGGCTCCAACGCGCCCAGTTGCTTGTTGACAGACCCCACGTGTGCGTCCTGTCAGGAAGGCCACAGGGTCAGCTCCCTCGGTCCAACTGGCTGTCCGTTGATAAATGTTGACCGATTCACAGACTCTGCATCTCTCAGAAGGGCTAAAGTATGGCAAAAGCATTTCTCAGCCCCAGCTCCTCCACAATTTCAATGCATTCACCATCGATGCAGCGCCATAACCTGGCTCCAGCAGTTGCGATTAGATGAGCTTGTTGAGGTTGTGACTACTTGGGAGGTCCGTTCCAGTTGTAAGACTATATTATCCATAGTTATGGGGGTTGTATCCCAACTTTATGGGGCTTAACTTTTCATGGTTATACAGTTATACCCACTAATCCGCCCCAAACTACCAACTCCCCGCCTGATAGCACCATCATCAGCTCCTGACCAAAGGATGGGTCCCAGCTTCAGCAAGGTCTTCAGGCCGTTCTTGTGGCCGTGCATGTGCATTCCTGGAAAGTGGTCGAGCCACTGCCGGTTAGAGACCAGCCTGGTACCTTTTTCCCATCCAAACGGGGCAAAATCAAGCAACAGGAAAGTGCTATCTATATTATCTGCCCTTATCTGCCCCACAAATTGGTGGTCTTTCATTGGAAGAACTTGGGTTTTTTTCCACAGTTGCGAATAGTGCAAAATGCGATGTGACTAGTACCTGCAAAATCCTGCAAGTGTGAGTATGTTTACTTACCCTGCATCTGAATCGGTTGCCCTGTTTCATTCATGATCTTTAGTGCGTGAAGGAAATCCAGAACGTATGCTGCATCTGCTTCTCATACTGAAATTTTGTGCGCAGACCCGGTTGCGTCTTGAACTCTTGATGAAACAACCAGAAGGTCTCAGGTTCCTTTTGAAGTCGTGGCTCTACCAAGTCCCATTGGCCACTGCCCAACCAGATTCCCAGGGAGGATTCAAAGGCGTCCTTTCAAAATGCCAACTTTCCAGCGACCAAGTTCCACGACCGCTGCTTCTTTGTCTTCCTTCACCATGGCTGGAACCGTTTTCTTCGCTCGCCAGGTGTGGATGTGCCATTCACCTGCCAGCCCGTGACGTCCCAATGCGACAATCATCATCCAGTGACCAAAAATAACGACACCCCATATATGACTCCAAAATGAACAGCGTCAAAATATGTTAATTAAAACATGTTTCAAACATGTTAAATCATGTTAATGCAGGGGTTCTGTCCTCTTCCCTGGTTGCAGTATATCATGTCACCCCATCTCTATGACCACAACGGCTCCATTTCGTTCCAAGCTGCGGATGGTGAAGTCGTTACTGCCGCTCCAAGCTTTTCGGACAGGAAAGTCCTGCCGCTCCACGGAGAGCGGACGGGGTGGGGGGCGAGACCTGTCCCATTTGGTGATACCTCTCCAATGACTATGCCACAGGATGGTCCTACACATACTTTAGTTATATTGTATATATATTATAGATATATTATAGATATCATATTATATATTGTTATATATATATGTATATTATTATATATATATGTAATATTATTTATATATATGTATATTATTATATATATGTATATTATTATATATATATGTATATTATTATATGTATATATAAGTATTACTATATGTTATATATATATGTTATATTACATATATATATATTATCATTATATATTTTTTATTATACATATATATATGTATTATAATTATATATATATTATGATATTATATATATATATATTATATATATTATATATATTATTATTTAAATATATTATTATTACTATTATGATTATTAATTCCATGATTATTACATATATTATTATTATATATAATTACTATTATGTTATTATTATATATTACTATTATATATTATTATTGTATATTATTATTATATATTATTATTATATATTATTATTATATATTATTATTATATATTATTATTATTATATATATATTATTTCATATATAATTATATATACTATAATGTAATATATATAATATAAAATAAAAAATATTTGATATATATATACCATAATATGTATATATATATTGTTATTTATATTAATATATATATATAATTATAAAATCAGAAATATTGATATATATATATATATTGTTTTATAAATTATTATATATATATTATTATTATATATATAGTATTATCTATATTATTATACATATTATTATATATTATTATATATACTATTATATATTATTATATATATTATTATATATATTATTATATATATTATTATATATATTATTGTATATTTATATATATTATTATATATATCATTATATTTAATTTTATATATATTAATATATATATATGTTATTTGATATATTATTATATATAGTATTATTTATATCATGATATACTTATGTATATTATTATGTATATTTTATTTAAATTATTATATATATTATGAGATATAATATGATATATATAGTTTTTATATATTATCAGTTTATATTTATTATTATTATTATTATATATATTTAAATATAGTGTATATTATTATATATATATATTGTTATTTATATTATTGTATATATTATTAAATAAATAATTATTTATATTACTATATGTATTATTGTATATATATATATATATATTTATTTAAATATATTATTATATATATTATTATATATATATATTATTATATATATATATTATTAAATATATTATTATATATCATTATATATAATATTATTTATATTACTATATATATTATTGTATATATTATTATATATATAATAATATATATATATACTGATATATATAGATATACATATATATATATGTGTATGTATACATAGAAATGACTGTACATAGAAATATATATTTATATCTCATGGTTCAGGAACGCATAGGAGCTTCATTTTTCCCCACTCAATGGCCTTTCTGATGGCGAAAAAATCCCCACCTGCGCATCGTTGTCCCCCAGGCTGTCGTCGCAAGCGAGGCAGGTGACGCCACCAGTGTGGCCACCCATCAAGGTGCCTTTGGGTTCCTTCCTGAGGTCGTGGAACCGGGGAAAACCATTGTACTGGTTAGTTAATAGGAATTACCATCAGGGATTATGATCATCCCGGATATATTGGGTAGTATAATGTGGAGTTGAAGTGCTTGTGAGATTCCTGAAGATTGTTTTTCCCTTGTAGCGTTTTACCTGGTGATGTTGGCTAACACGAGTAAAACGCACACTGAAGGATTTCTTGTTCAAGATGCATACACTGCTCTTGCAGTTCAATAGTCTGCTTGAACGATACTGTTCTCTGCGTTCTTTCACACAATTCTTTCAAATTGGGCGGGTACAAGACGCTGCTCGCGTCCAAACCATCTGAGGTTCGCCCTGTTTAAACAAACTTAAACCTAACAAAGCCTTGAAGTTCCCCGAGCCCCTCACAACGCATGGAATTTGCATATTTTTGTTCAAAAGTGTGAACGTTTTATTCAAGACTGGGCCAGCGCCGATCCAAGATGTCCAAGTCTCTTTTTGGAGTCGAAGAGGGAAATCCCAAATGCCTCTTGACCCATCCACATGAGCCCTGGCTTCATATGGAGCATGCTCCAAACAAACCTGGCGTCATCCAATCGAAGTTTGTTGAGACATCTTCAAAACATTTCAACACCAAATACATAAATGCTGTCCTAGGGACAATTCAGGGACAAATAGGACATTGCAGAAATATTTTCGTATAGTTTCTGAGTCATCTGTGCCTATTGCAAGGTGCTGTCCATTTCTGTGATGCCAGGCACTGAGCGCCTGTCTGTAGGAATATTTCCCAAGACTTTTGAGGCGTTGTCGCGGTCACGCACTGTGACCACGCCATGCCAATCGACTGTCCACACCTCATCACCGATGCAGATAGCCTTAGAGCATCGATTTCCGAAGCCAAAACTGCGATGCAATTTATGCGGCGTCAATGTTTTACTATCCAGTATAATAGCCCCAAAATCCATAGCTGGTTCTCCAATATCTGTATCATCTTGGTGGGCTTCTCCTCCATCCAATGAGGATGTAACCCACAAAGAGCATGGTGGAGTTCAACTTCAAACGACTACGCACCTGCCAAGCAAATGTGGATCTGAGGTTTTTGTTGGGCTCCTGTAGAATTTCCCGGCCATTCCAAAGGTAAGCCTTCCTCACGGCTATCAGCTTGGTTTCAATGTCAGACAAGCTGCATTTCGAATGGGTTTGCCGAACTCTAAGGTCTTGTCGCATTTCACACCTCGCTTGTCAAGACTTCACCGGGCACCGCAGCACGACCGTGACAGTGGCCAAAGGAATCACACATTTATATAACAAACCCAAAGCTGGGACACAGAAATATCAGAAATTGTGAAGGAATAGAGGAATAAAGAGGCGCATGCGCGTACCTGGAGTTGGCATCAAGAGTTTTAGTGCAGCCATCACTTCAACAACCAAGGTACCTGGAGAATTTGAGGACTTGCCTTTTGCCCCCTTGGGGGGCTTGAAGTCACCTCGTGTTGCACCAGCGATGGTGCACTACTTGCTGATGCAAATTGGAGTGTTGTTGGTCAGCAACACTTGGAATTTACCAGCACCAGCCAAAGCGTGAATTTGAGAAAACTAAACAACTCTAAGTGGCGCGTGGTTTCAACCTCTTGAAAGATATGTGTCATTGCGGATCATTGCCCAAATCAGGTGGAAAGAATAGATCTCTTGAAATCAACAACCCGTTCTTTGTTGTTTATTGGTTCTATGGCCATATATATAATATCATAAAATATATTATTATATAATATATCGATATTATATTTTTTCTACATGAGGCCCCGCATATATTTCCCACCTTCACCCGTATTATCTCCGCCCCGCCTAGGCTGGCCGAATTCTGCGCGCTCTTCGCCTCTTCTGACTCATTGTCGCTGTTCTGCAATTGCTCGTACCTAATAAGGAGGAAGGGTTGCTAGTTGCTGGGATGGTTGATTCATCCTATGCCCTAATACTTATCTCAGATATATGTAATATATATATATATATGCACATATCATTAGATTATGTTATATTATGTATACATGTCCCTCCGGGGCGGACGTTCGCACAAATTTTCATTGAAGTATTGGTCTGTATTGGTTACTTTGGGGTTAGTGTCGGATTTTTTAGAGATTGGTTTAAGGATTATTTAGGGTTGGTTTAGATTTAACTTAGGGTTGTTTTAGGGTTTATCTAGGATTTGTTGGGTTAATGTTTGGTGCTGTTTAGGATTGCTTTAGGGTTTGTTCAGGGTTTTTGTTTATGTTTGGGGGTTAATTTAGGGTCATTTATGGTTGATTTAGCGTTGGCTCAGGGTGCGTTTAGAGTTTATTTAGGGTGAGGTTATTTTGGCGTCCTTCAAAGGGATTCTAAGGTTTTGCGGTTTGTTGCGGTTTTAGTTAACAGCTCGAGTAACATTGCAAATTACGGAGAATATGTTCAAGACATGTTTCGAAGGGTAATTGTACTTTTGGATACTTTTGGATCTTTTGGCGCCGTCTTAAGTAAGTGCAAAAATGCAATGAGGCACAGGTATATTGCATGCTTGCAGTTTGCAAAAAACACGCGCCGAAGCAACAGAGCAGATTGCTGTTCCGCGTGGAGTTCCGTGGATTTCTGGCAAACGTCAGCCCCCTAGCGATACATATGCGTTATTATGCATTATATATATATGTATAATCATCGAAGGAAGTTTAGAAATCAAACTTCCGACAATATGGACAGAGATGAAAAGCAGAGATGGGAAGAGTCAGAGAAGAGAAGAGAATAAGAAAGAGAAAGTCTCAGAAGAAAGAAGATCCAGGTCCACGAAAAGGTAGGAAAGTCGCGAAACACTGTGTTTTTCCAATGATTTGTGGCTCTGGAGGGTCGAAAAGTAGGCTCGCTAAAGCGAGGGTGCGGAGCCAGCTGGCCAGCTGAGAGATGAAAAAGTGCACGCTGTTGTGGCGCGAAGCGCGTTTCCAAGTCAAAATGTACAAAGCACACCAGGTTCGGACCACTTTTGGAAGTTGCGCTGCCGAAGAGGTGCACGCCATTGTGGTGCGAAGCACATTTCGAAGTCAAAATGTACAAAACACACCAGGTTCGGACCACTTTTGGAAGTTGAGATGTCGAAAAAGTGCACGCCGTTGTGGTGCGAAGCACATTTCGAAGTCAAAATGTACAAAACACACCTGGTTCGGACCACTTTTGGAAGTTGAGGTGGCGAAAAAGTGCACGCCGTTGTGGTGCGAAGCACATTTCGAAGTCAAAATGTACAAAACACCTCAGCTCCAGAGCACTTTTAGAAGTTGCGCTGTCGAAAAAGTGCACGCCGTTGTGGCGCGAAGCACATCTGGAAGTAAAAATGTTAAGAACACCACATGCTCGGACCACTGTTGGACGTTGAAGCGTCGTTTTGCGTGGCAGGCGCAAGGGATTGTGCACCGTGTCAAATGTGAGCAAAACGTGAGGGTTTTGTGGCACTTCCAAAAACGATGGCAGGCGTGGGACATTTGAAGAGGATCTGCAAAAGATGCATTTTCCGTGGCAGGCGCAATACAAGAGACATGTTCATCAGAGTTGTTAGGAGGTCCGGGCGCTGATTTCCTGAGAGGGGTTGCATTTTGGAGCATCAGATCTTCAGGTTTGCTGAGATGATTTTGCGTGACAGGTGCAGCACTTCGTATCACCTGGCATCACTTTTTCGTGGCAGGCGCAATACTTTAGACGGGTGGAGTGGAAAAATCGCAAAACGCATTGGTACGAGGCCGTCAGCTCTGCACTCAACTTTCCATTTTTGAAGGAAGTCTCGCAGAATTGCTTCGTTTTTGATGTTGTCAAGTTCAAAAATTGAGGAAGTCTCGCCGAATTGCTTCGTTTTGGATGGTGTCAAAATCCAAAATTGAGGAAGTCTCGCAGAATTTCTCGTTGTGGATGTTGTCAAGTTCAAAGATGGAGGAAGTGTCGCAAAATAGCTGCGTTTTCAAGCTTGCAGATAGACAGACAGACAGACAGGCAGATAGATAGATAGATAAACAGAAAGACAAATTAATGGATTAAAAAATACCTAGATAGACAGATAGATAGACAACTGCATCTGCACTACACCACACTAGAACTACAACTTCAACTACAACTACGACTACACTACCACTACAACAACAACAACAACAACTACTACTACAACTACAACTACAACTACACTTCAACTACAAGAACTACAGCTACAACCACAACTACAACTTCAACTACAACTACAACCTCAACTACAACCTCAACTACAATTACTACAACTACACTACTACTACAACAATTACCACGACACTACACTACAGTACAACTACAACTACAGTTACAACTACAACTCCAACTCCTGCAACTATTGCAACTACTACAATTACTACGTACAATTAAGACAATTACAAATTCAACTACGCTACAGCTACACTACAACTACAACAACAACAACTACTACTACTACTACTACCACCACCACCACCACCACGACTACTACTACTACTACTACTACTACTACTACTGCACAAACTACATTACAACTTCAACAACTTCAACAACTTCAACACCACTACAACTACAACTACAACTACAGCTACAACTACGACTACAACTACTGCGCTACACCACACTACATGACCACTGCAACGATTGCAACCACTCCAAGAAACACAACTCCAACCACCTTTCGGTCCATCAGTGGATTCGCTCTGCCATCCGTGATTCACAACAACCAATCTCTCCTATAGGTGTCCTATTTCTGAAACTTCCGCAACCGCCGACCGTGCGGTACTACTGGTATATAATCATAAGTCTCAAAAATCTTGAAGAAAACCTCAAACAAAACTCCGGTTTAGTAGTGGATCCATTCATTTTCGGAGGCTGTTAATGTGGACGATTAATGGGGGATTGGGTGGTATTTAATCTTGGTTGATTCATTGGTCAGTGGGCTTGGGCTTCACCCTCCGAATCCTGGGGATTTCACCAGTTTTCATCAAATCCACTGGGGGAAATATGGAAAAAAAAACCAGCCCCTTCCGACTTCCGACCTGTGAAGAATGGTGAAACCATGTGAAACCAAGGGGAAACCCTGAAACATCACCCAAGTCGTGGGGATATTTCTCTGCACCGGTCATCTAAAAGTTTAAAAGGGGCTCACGCGCTCCGAAAGTTGCGGGAGATGGTGGAGTCCAGCCCTAGCGGTCCGAAACTACTAAGCGCCAGTCAAAATTGACCTCCCAAGCTGCTCACCTCGACTCATCATCTCAAAACGGTGCCATCCTTCTACTTGAATTGAAATGTCATGAAACATCTACACAATCAGGTTAAGATGAGAAGTGCCATCCAAGAAAATTTTTAAAGATCTGAGCATAATCTGTAATCATTCAGAAGGACGTTGATGCAACGTGTCAGCCGGACAGTCATCCATGACACACCACGCCTTGATCCAACCAATCCACAAAGTCTTCATATTGGACCTGGCACAATGGGAACACAGTTCTACGCAACAAGATGGCCATCATCCTTGAGGGGCCAGAAGGGCACCACTGACATCCATGAACTTTGTCAATGGTTTCTAGCTGAGCTAAAATAAAGTAAGATCCCAATAAGTTCAAGGTCCATCATTGATTCCAGTCATTCACCACTTATATAACTTATGTATACAGTGTATATATATATATATGTGTATGTGTGTGTATGGCAGTGTATGGATCAAACTCGGGGACCCCTAAAAAAATGCGCATTATGCGCCTGTCCAGTGGCAGCTCGATCCATGTTCCCCAGTAACGTCTTCACAGCTTCATCCTGAGAGCGATGAAGAAGTCGGCGCTGAACCATTGGAAAGCCCAACAAATATGGCACTGGAATGCACTGAAATCCTTTTTTTCTCTGGCTTTTCCTCATCTGATTGGAGTATTGTTGCAATGGCTGTCGTTTTTATATTTTTTTATCATGTTTCTGTCCATCAAGTGCGCAATCTTTCACGTCTTCACTTGTACCGCAACAGTTGCTGTTTCTGAACAGCGTCGCGGGGTGTAGTGGTCTTGGTTTCAATGTTTAGTTCCATTCTGGAAATATGGTACAACACGGCATGAAATAAGATCATCATAACATCCCAAGATCTGATCTGCAACCAGGACTCTGTCCAAATGTCAGGATCCACAGTTTGCAGCACATTTGTGAGCTCCGTTTGGTCGATGACCTCAGGTGATTCTTCCCATTTTTTCGTGGAAGTCCACTAGTCTCCCAACGAAAAAAAACGCATGGGAATCCAGGGAAAAGCTTTGAAAACGGATGAAAAATAGCAGTCCGGCAGAACTATGCAAAACTCATAGAAATGCGGTTAAACAGACGGACATCGGCCACATCTGCCGAAGAGTGTGCAGGCTGTTTTACGTTTCCGGCCGAGGGGCTCCATCTCCATTCAAGTCAAATTGTCGGAAGCTCTGTCGAACTTCCTCTAGGCCGTGGCTCCCTTCACTCATCTTCAATGGCTACGGCGGCTACGACGCCCGCGCCGGTGGTGGTTAAACGTGTTTTGGCCTGCGGAGTTGCATTTAGTGAGGATACTAATTTCCACTCAAAGCGCTTGTTCATGGCTTGAGAATCATCTGGCTGGCCCATTTCTAGAGTTGTAGCAGCTGCACCCAGAACCAAACATGTCAAGTAGGGGGGACATCTGAGCAGTTCACAATACGGTTCAAGAGGAAATTCACGGTTGAAATTGTCATACAGTCATACAGTCTGATATGAGCTTCTGCTGAAATGAGAAGTTCCAGTAATGTCGATTGAACTTCCCTGAAAAGCTACCACGTTGCTATATTTGTGAGGAAGAAAATCCCTTTCCCACAAGCAACGAGCGCGGTTCTTTTTTCGAAACGGTCACAACCTCGGTGGTCGTGATGTCCGCGCACAAAGTGCGGTGCAACTTTGCAACGCTGCAATATCTGGCTGAGCTGCATAGCAATGTTTTGCCTGCAGCTCCACATGCACTGCAGGTTGTAATGCAGTTTGTATGTCACACGAACGTCACTTTCTTCAAAGCTTCTATAGAAAGATCTTCGGCATGAGCTCAAAGACAGGTTGCTCCTCTGTTTTTTCACTGGCATACGTCCCACCGCAACTCTTCGATTAAGCACAAAACCACCACAACAGAATGCCAAAGAGCTCTCAATCTTCAAGGGACCAGAGATATGTGTAACATTTTTTCTCACAAAACTATACAAAACTCACAAGACATCCAAAAACTTCAGAGTTCCAAAGATTCCACACTGATTCCACACCATTGAAAAACCAGAAATCGGTGAGTCCCTTGGAGGTTTCACAACGCCACGCGCCAACGCCACGCCCCGCTGGATCGTCTCAAGGCCGCTTCAGAACAGCTCGGCGAAAGGTGACCAACAGCGCCGTGACCTAGAGGGGCTTTCCAAAAAAAAAAACTTGGTTTAAACCCCAATTTTTCCCCTGTCTTTGGACTACTATTAGTATTATCAGTAGTAGAAGTAGTAGTAGTGGTGGTGGTGGTCGTCGTCGTCGTAGTAGTAGTAATAGTAGTCCTCGTCCTCGTCCTCGTCGTCGTCGTAGGATAATTACTACGATCATTATGGTTATGATTAGATATCACTATATAATATGATCAGTATGATTATTAGGAGTATTCTGAATGTTTTGAGTCTTACCCCACAGAAAAATAGAGAGAATTGGCTGCCAGGCTTGCAACCCGGTGACAAATCACACATCAGGGACTTGCTGAGTCACTGAGCATGGCCAGCGCCCCGTTCTTTCATCTGGACAAGACTTGGACATGATGACAAGTTATGACAAGCTACCATACATGTGGGAAGGGAAAACATGGAAAACCCATACAAACAGTATATACCAATATATACCAATGCAATGATCCCAGATTGACCCAGCTGTACGAAATCGGATCGTCTGTTCAGCCTCCAGTCACACCTGGTCCCCTTGAGATCCTTGAGATCCTGACATTGTCCCGGGACCTTCTTTCATGAATCGCTTCATGCACAATGTCCTGAACTGCTCTATGTGGATCCTGGCACAGGTGACCCCAGGCAGCACGTTGGTCCTACTGGGTGGCGCAATTCAGAAAGCGCAATATCCCAAGGTGTCGATCTGTTCAACACACATGTTAGGAAAATCTACCGTATGCAAATCATGTTGACTCAGCATTCATAAACGCTTGGTCATCATCAACATGGGTAGTGTACCATCTTTAACAATAAATCACATTAAATCACTTCTGGTTATGGAAGGTGCCATCTTCAGCAATGAGTCATAACTGCATCACTTTGGGGGGGAAACCCAAATCTATTGCCCTCCAGCAAATTAACATAGACCCTGGCAGATAGGGCTTGGAAGATAGGGGCTTCCACTAAAAAATCTAAAAATGGGTATCTTCAGTGTCTGTCAATTTTTCAGAACGGTATACTAATCTATCCACTAAATATACTAAATATACTAAATATACTAAATATTAAGGATATTGGTAGATATTAGATTCACCCAATTAACTTTGGTGGGTTGGTTCCTACCGATCTATCCACCGGTCATCCCCCAAAAAATCGAACCGAACCTGCTCGTTGGGTGGCATCGCCGCCAGACGGCTGTGAAGGAAATCCACCGCCTCCTGACCTCGGAAAATCACAAAATGTTCCACATTGATGTTACCCTCTGGTAAACTAACATAGCTATGGAAAGATCCACCATTTTTAATGGGAAAACTCACTATTTCTATGGCCATTTTCAATAGCTACGTTAAATTACCAGAGGGTAAAAATAACCCCAGGGTATTATGATTTTTTGGATGTGTATAATCATGATGATCTTATACTTTTTTAAGGATGTATGTGATCATTATGATGACTTGGACGTGTACATTAAATGTTAGCCGTATTAGTATAATCATCATGATCGGCACTGGTATAAATTATGTTTACTTTGATCACAAGAACAAGAAGGAGGAGGAGGAGAAGAAAGGCATCAGAAGAGAAACACGAACGGCGCGTAGACATATTTGACTACATCATGTCTCACTCTACAACGAATATAATAATATATACATATATATGTGTAGTTTCACATATCATACGTGCAGCTGCATATCCCTATGTCACACCTCACATATCTTGGATTGTAGAATTTCCAGTACGGTCACGCCATGTCATGCCATGTCACACCTCATTAAATCCCGTTCAAGTCAGCTGTAACTTCATGTCATGCCAAAAAGTTCCTGCGGGTGTGGTAACCATTTTGCATCATACCATGGGCTGTGGTACTCCCTCATGATTTTGTAGGTCATGCTGAACTTATATGATTCCTATATATTCCTATATAGAAAGCCTGAATATCAGAGCTACACAAACTCAAACACACCAATGACCACTACGTCGAGCGGTGTGGCTCCATGGATTGTGGGCATATAACCATCATCGATTTCACCTCAAAATGCCAGCTCAGTAGATGTTCATCTCCTCCCAAAAAAATGTGGGAAATCACGGATATAGGTATGTTGACCATTTTTGACCCATCCCAATTTTGATTGTGCCTGAAATCCCCATGATATCCACAGCTTGACCGTGGTGAAAAACTTGACCTTCAGACCCAGGTTGACCGACAGCTGAAGACAGCGAAAAGACCATCGCAGGCCATGAAGAGGAAGTCATCCTGGCCACCGAGTTGGCACCGGTGAAAGTGTCTCACTTGAGCCGAACATGGGACCATGCACTCACAACCTTTTAGGCTTTGACTTGGGGACATGGGGACATGGGACCCGGGGTGGGGTTGGGGGGACATGGGGGCAAGCACCCTCTTCTGCCTCTCTATACAGTCACAACCTACTTCAAAAAGTTTATATGTTATTCTGTATTGATATGATAATGTGCAATGACAAGATGTTGTGCTCCGACATCTTAGATGTGTTATATTTGTCTGTTACTGGGGCAAGCTTGACATGATTCTGGTACTTCTGCACTTGCTAACTGAAAGATCAGGCTGCGCAGGCACAAGCGAGACAGATTCGCAAGCATAAGCGAGGACTCTTCCATCTAGCGGAAGCTAGCTAGCTAGATAGATAGATAGATGGATAGATAGATCTAGCCAGATGGGCTTGCAAACTAGCTTGTAGCTCGAGATTTATGATGGATAGATGATATATTTGTAGCTGAAAACAAACTAGCTTGTAACTGGGGGCCCTTGCAGTTTTTCTTGGCACTAACCCATTCCAAAGCGAGTATCAATAGTTTTGAGTTTTGAGCCATGACAACAAAATAAGATGCATGTGTCTGAAAATGAGGTATGTATGCCTCAAAAATTGCCATTGTTATGGGTAAGAGAAGGTAAGAATAAGATGTGAAAAATAAATACACACATAAAATTGGTGGTACCGCATTCTCAAACAAAACGGCGGTTCATTTAAGAGTTTTTACAACATCAAAAAACCTGTGTTCCACAACATCTCAAAGGTTTCACAACATGTGGTATTTCTTAGCCGCCAAAAAAAAACAACCGGTTTTGCTCCTCTGGTGTAAGTTGCTCCACTCGTATCTCGGGTTCGGCGATGACCAGTGGCCTCAAACATCTCTATGGTTTTGCTGGTTTAGTGCGATGCATCTGTTCATTTGAGGAGCCAGATATGAGGGGTGATAATGGCGAACATGATGGCGAACATGTACCATCATGTACCACTCACAGCAGGAAGACATGCTGTTCCAGTTTCAACCTCGGTGACATGTACCAATTGTAGGTCAAGATCCAGGCTGCACAATGGGTTTGGTCGCACCAACCTGGCTGTGGCTCTTCTCAAGGCACGAATTGCTGGGGAAAGCTTTATAGCCATATTGTACCTACCAAGCTGTCAAAACAACACAATGGAGAAGCATGGCAAATACCCAACAGGATATCTTCAAAAGCTAGATTTTCTCCAAAGGGTTTTGTCTGAGGATTAAGTACCCCGATTTCACCCAATGGATTATCATCATGTTCCATTAAAAGACGTTTTTTAATGGTGGTTAATATCCCATTTTCAGACACACCCAAAAATACAAATCTATTTATCTACCTATCTATCTATCTACCTACCTACCTACCTATCTATCTGCCTATATTATTTATATATATATACATATATATATATATTGGTATATGTGTGTGTGTGTGTATTTGTTGGTGGCTCCGATCTGGTGAAAACGCGCGTTTTCACCAGCTCGGAACCCCAAGTCGGGACGTGTTCTGGAGTCTTTTTTATCACCGCCCACAGTGTTTTGTAAGGGTGGGTTGGGGGAGTGAGGGTGGTGTATTAACGTTCTTGGCCTTTGCGTTCTTACACACATATGCGGGATGTTACGCTGAAAGCATTGGCACTCACGAAGGACCGTGAGTGGTTGTGGGCCTGAGGAAAAAATGCTACTGCATTGCAAGCTTCGCCGTGCGTTTTCATCAGAGTGGAGCGTTGCATTATACCCCCATATATCATATTATATCCCCATGATGGTTTATTTTGTGCCCCATGAAAGATCTCAAGATCTTCGTGGTTTCAGCGCAAGAATCCCAGGCTTGGGCAGCCTGTAAAGTATACCTGCCTTGTACTCTTCATCCCCAAAGGCTCTTGACACGGCCAGGCGCCCAAGCCTTGGTGAATGACGCTGGAGATGTCCTATGAAGGATCCCAGTTACCATAGGTTTCAATACTTTTTGTCATGGTTTAATGACTTGGATGATTTGGGGGTAGCTATGGGTAACTCTATTTTAGGAAACCCCCAAATGGTGGTTGATGTAACTGATCACTCACCTGCATTATTTGGCTGGTAAATGATGTTGAATGATACCAAATGATGGTTGTTGGCTGGGAAAAAAGGATTGCCCTACCGCGACCTGTTTGTGGTTTTCAGACCTGTTTGTCCTGGTGCTTTTTGCATCTTAGCAAACCAAACTGGGGGCCATCACACGCGGTGAAAGGATACGAAGCCACCTGCCTCGCATCGTCGCTGACAGTTTTCATGGAGGGCTTGTAGTGTGAATGACTCTCGCTGATCTGCTTTGCTTGCTTGAATATTGCAGATTCCAAGTGTGAATCTGACACAACAGCGCAATATAGTACAATATAGCTGATGGCCACTGATGGCACAACTCCCGCGAGATACGTCTTATCCATCAGTCTATCCTCAATGCAATGGTCAGTCAATCTGCCCATCTGTGTACCTCTGTGTATTTAGGCCCTCCCTGTTTATGTACCTTTTACATAGGTGCAGATGTGTCATGGTCAAGAGATGGTCGGGTATGGCATCCCGCAATGGTAACCTTTGTTTCGGCCTTGATTATTCCCGATGGATTGATGTCCCCCCAATATAGAGCTTTCCTAAGTCATGGGGGTACCTCCAAAATCATCCCAAGTCATGGATGACCAAGACTTAGTATTTAAAAATATTGAAAAAAATATGTTAGGAAACCCCCTAATAGATAGTCATAACTAGTCATCACTCATAACCCAACAAGCTGACCATGGCCTCCTCAATGCGCTGAGACTCATCAGCCCTGCTGGGCTTGTGGTCTAATGACAGTTGCAATGCCTTGCCTCCGATGCTGAGCACGGCTGCAGGGGATTCCAAGTGCTCCAAGGCTGGGATTGGAATGGGTTGAATGCGGGATGGATGGGGGTGAATAGGGATGGATGGGGCATATCATGTTGAACTTGATCAATTCAATTGAATCACTTGAAAGGAGTTTCAAACGCGTAGGGGGCACAGGCGCCAACTTTAAGAGACTTTCCATGGGAGTACTCGATTCTAGCTATAGATAGATCCAGTTGGACCGATGCGCTGCTGGGTTTGCAGCCGCGAGGCCGACCATGACCCTCTTGGAGGGCTTCATGTCAAGCCAAGACTTCGGAAATTCCTAATGGATGTGGCCACGCACCAAGCTATCCTGGGTTGCCAAATGTTTGTCTTTGGGGAGCAATGTGGAATCCCCTCGTTATCCAACGACATTCATGTGGTAAACCCAATAAGACACCCCAATTCTACCAGAAATGGCTGGCTTTGGAACACCAAGATCACCAACCCCAAAAGGCATCCGGGCCATTTCTGCAGAGCAGTGCTCGGCTGTCGCCCACATTGGCACACCAAACCCAGCCACCGACCTGAAAAAGTGGTGAGTTGATGGAACAGCAGTTGGGTTTATGAATGAGTATAACTAAGATTTTAACCTCCATGAATTGAGATTAATAATCCCTAAAACATTTTGGCAGCTATGGTGAGTCTATCATGGAACTGCACCGCGAGTAAAGTTTCATTTTGATGAATATTATTGCCTGCGCAAGTGGGTTGTGGTCAAGGAAAAAAAGTTGATGGCACAACAATCACAAGGTTCTGGAGCCTCTTTTGTAGTATCTGACGCACTGAAGTTTATGTAGTATAGTTCTCCTGATCTTCCAACAGAGTGCCACCGCATGGAGGAATTTTCTCTTAGCTCCACAGCTTCATTTGTAGGTTCCACGCCAATGATGTCCCCAAAGGGGGAAAACACGAGGGGTCGGTTTTCAAACAATTGAAATTTACCCCAACAATCAAATCAAACAGTGGAAAAGGACATATATAATCATATATATATATATTATGTGTATGTATAATATGTACATACATTACATTACATTACACTACACTGCACTACACTACATTACATTACATGTTATTACATTACATTACATTACATGACATTACATTACATGACATTACATTACATATATTACATACATTACATACATTACATACATTACATACATACATTACATTACATTACACTACACTACACTACATTACATCGCGCTACATTACATTATATACAATACATTACATTACATACATACATGTGCATTACATACATACATGTGCATTGCATTGCATTGCATTCCATTCCATTCCATTACATTACATTACAATACCTATTATGTATGTACATATGCATATGCACATGTATGTTCAAGAAGGTGCTTGCAAACCCAATTAATCAAAGGCACCACCCCCACGCTTTTTTTGACGGGGCACGATGCAAGCGACCACAGCAGTGCTACCAGAGTTGCTGCTCACAATGCCCTGACAGCTCTCAAAATGGGGTAAACCTGCAATTTAAGGCAATCGGCGAATGGGAAAATGATGACTTCAACCATCCAAAAAAATGGGGTACCCCTATTTTCAGACAAAAAAAACAAGCAGTAGAACAAGTCGTACATCCTGCCACAATCTGCACAGCATGCCGCCACCTGAGCCAGGCTCAGGAATTGCTGGTCCGTCTTCAGGAAGCCCTGCATCAGGCTCTCGTGCATGTCTTGGTGAACCTGCAGCACAGTGGTGAAACTGACAGGCATGGCTTCCCAGTCTGTTCCAAATGAGGGGCCCATGTGTTTTCCATGAAACAACGTCAGGACAGTAAATTTGCAACTGGAAACTGCTAGGCAGTCGTGCAGATAAATTTGGACATGAATGGGTTTGGCATTCGGAAACTAACCTGAGGAAGCTTTTGGAAGTGCCACTTAGGCTTTACCAGCTCAACCAGCTCTTCCCTGCCTGGGCGGATTTATCCAAGCCACCCCTGGCGTGTAACGCCGCAACGATGTTGATGTGCAACCGCCGCCGCCTCAGCGCAACGCTGTGGGCTGCTGCGGGCTGGCTGCTGGGACTGCAGCTACTGCAGCTACTGCTTGAGTCAGCATCTGCTGTCTTCCATGAGAGTACTGTGTAGTACATATTATGCTTTGGGCCACCCAACACAAAGTTTACGCAGTCCCTTCCACCATGGCCATCGTAAATACCAAAGTAGGAGCATTGCCTGTCCAGCGCGCACAGGTGAGCATGTCTCAAAATGAGTTTCCCTTTTTGGTTGAAAAAGTAAATCCTTTTTATACCAAAAAGGGCACCTTAATTTTGACAAATAAGAGAAAAAGGGCACCTCATTTTGAGACACCCCCATGTCAAGTTTGGTGGGAAATAGCCTCATGGTCGTACCTCCAAAGCTCAATGATGTTTGTTCAACATTCAACCGCCGTGTCAAGGGGGTCCGTGTAATTGTGGATCAGTAATGACCATCAGCCTGTGATCAGAGGGTACTGAATGCAAAGAAAAGCTTCCAAGCATCCAGCGGCAGCAAAGAAAACCTGGGTAAGAATTTGCTGGGTGCTGCTTGGGTCATTTTGGCAATGATTAGCTACAGCTACTGGGCAGGTCCCAAGCTAAGACGTTCCGGGCGGCTTCAGAGCAGCCTCCAATTAGAGGTCGCCAAGTCCTGCACAAGAATGTCCTCATCCTGGAGGCTGTTGGGCATCACGTGATGTCTATCAGCATTCACACTTTATTCATTGAATCTGGCATCAACGCCGAAAAATGCCGGAAACAACCCTGTGTGAAGGACGTATAGTGCTGGCAGGAGCAAAGACACACTTTCAAACTATAGCCGATTCTATCCGATTCTTATGTGTGCTCTGGCCACCGAATTCAAAAATCCCATTTGAGTATTGGTTTCAACCCATCTGTAAAGTTAGGATTGATCGGTTCATGATCACCATCAAAAAGAGAGATGGAAAGAAAGATTTGAAACCACTAACCACTAACCATCACTAACCAGTACCCCATTGCCATCACCAAATCCCACTCCCCGACCACGGACCAACCGAGACCAACCGAGACCAACCGAGACCAACCGAGACCAACCGAGACCAACCGAGACCAACCGAGACCAAGCGACCTCCATGGTTGCTCGAAAGCCTTGTTCCGAGTATGACGCTGCATTGAAGCGCAAGACCTCCAACGTTTGCCAATTGGGCCAAGCAACTTCTGATCAGAAATCCTGAGAACTTAGGACTCAGATGGACTCAGATGGACTCAGGATCCCTATCCCTCATGTCTATCCATTTCTGAGCAAACCCCCATGTAGCCTGTGTAGCCGGCTCTGTACCTTGGAAACAGCGGCCTCAAAACTCGGACAACTGGGACCCGCCTGAAACTCCAGGGTTCCAATGGAGAAGAGATCCTGGGATATCTGGGATGGATATCTGGGATGTATCTGGGATCTTCCAGTCCAACAAACAGTGGTTTTCCAACAGGATGTTCATGTCAAGTGGATTCAAGTGGAATATGAATAGTCTGAATAGTAAGTGGGATAAGCTTAAGAATCAGCTTGTGGCTGGCAGCCAGGCCGACATTTTTGTCCTGCGGCATCAGCCAATGGCTTTGATCCTCTCGAAGTCGTACCCAGCCTGGCGGCGTCGGTCTGAAAATTGGGTACCTCAAAAAAAAACCTCAAGAGAAATTCCATTGAGTCAATGTTGGCACAGTTGAATATGATCATTAATAAACATTTATATTTTTTGGGGGGTACCCTCTGGTAATTTAACATAACTATGGAAAATCACCATTTATAGTGGATTTTCCCATTAAAAATGGTGATTTTCCATAGTTATGTTAAATTACCAGAGGGTACTGTAATTGCTCCCATTAACCGGCCACGCCTTTCTGTTCCGACTCCGCCGATCGCTCACCTGGACCAGGAAAGATTGGCAGCCACCGTCGGATCCCCCGACCGGGAAACCGCTGAGGTGAGGGCTGAAATGCACGTAGTACCTTCCAAATGAGTAGCCTCGAGTGTCAGAATCTGCAATGCACAAATTTTATACAATTTTATACAAAGTTACACAATTCGATGACTCTCGATATGAACAAGATGCAGCTGCAGAGCTACAACATGAATATCATGAATATCATGAATATCATGAATCGGATGATATCCTGGTACCTCCGAATCAGATCATAGTGGATGTTGCAGCCGCAGCCATGCGATGCCCTGGGTGCCCTGGGTGCCCTGGGTGCCAGGACCGATCCGCAACTGCTCTGGCCGCAACCAGCCAGTCACTGGCGCCTGCCAAACCGATCCAGTCACCGGGGCTTCATTGGTTTCCCTCTCAAATTCCTGGCAGAATCCTGAGAGAATAAACTTCTGGACTTTCGAAACAGATTCGACCTGGAGATGTACAACCAAAAGACACATCTCTGCATATGTCGAATGTGCATAGTACACCTGTGCACCTGTAAATGCATCTACAGCAAGTCTCTGTGTAGATGCAGCGCTAGAAGAAGAAGAAAATTCACTTGTCTGGTCACCTTCATAGCAGTACCTCTGGCTATAGAGAACCAGTTCGATCGAAGACCAGGTTGGGGCAGCCTGGACCCTACTTTTAAGCGGAGGATACCATGCATCATTTTAGAATGCCGTGCCTGTCCAACTGGCGAGTCCTGATTGTGCATGGTGGAAGCTGCTAAAGTCACTGGTTGGTGGTCCCGCCCGAAAACTATTTGCCAACTGAAGTTGATTATCCAGGTAAGGAAGGGAAACCCACACATCATGTGTGAACCTGCAAGTCCACCACTTCATTCTTTACTATGTTATCTTTTAGCATCCAGGGTTTCATATCCTCATTGGGGACCCTGTCCCATTTTGGACATGCAAATCCTATAATTCTACAATTTGTAGGCCAGTTCTTGTTGCTTCCATCCCATTCCCAGTTCTTGTACCCCAAATGATCTCCATGCTACTTCCAGCGACAGCACTCCGCTCCTTGGAATTGATTGAGTGCACTCCTGCCAGAACATCATCCACCTCCTTGCAACCGGGCATCCATGAAAATCTCTGGCTTCAAGGGCTTGCTGTAATGCTGATTTGACTGGTTACTGGTTTGTGAGCTGCGAATAGTTCCATCCTTGATTCCTTGATGATTAAACGATTGATTGTCATTCCAGCTCCTAAGTCACCTACAAGTGGCAGTACAACACTAAATAGACAACTCTCATTAAGGTGTTGTTGTCACCCCCCTCCAAGCTGCGTAAAAAAAGGTCCTTCTCTTCAGCTGCAGAGCCCTGAGGCACCAGGGAAATAGTGCCTCCAGCCTGGCCACCAGAACATCGCAGTGGTTTGAAAACGGCAAAATCCCTGGCAGCTACAGTTATGGCCCTTTACCAGTTATAAGTACTTATAACCCCATTTATAGAATATATAATCCCATTTATAACCAGTTATAATTGATAAATGGCCATAACTGTATGGATGGATTCGTTCCCCCCCAGTCACTGTCAGTCCCAGAGCTGATGGAAACTCAGGAGAAGGCCCAGCCAACAGTGGCGATGCTCTCTAAGGAACCTCAGCTGAATCCCATCACCGAATCACCGGGAACCCCAAAACTCTTCTGCAACCGGCTCTCAGCATCCAACGGTTCAAGTCGGCGTCCCCTGCAGTGGGGACACCTCCGAGTGGTGGATGGATCATACTTGCTGCGAAGGGTGAAAGAATGGGTAGACCATGTGATACTGTAGTAACAACCCCGGATGATATCCAGATATTGTAGAGCAGCGAGTTTTTTGATGTGAGATAGTTTGGAATGGCAGATATTGGGCTATTTGGTATATAGGGTTTAAGAATTCCAGGGAAACAAAAAGAGCTTCAGCTCAGCATCCTTTTTTGGTTCCCCCAATGCTCTTCAATGCTGCCAAACACATGTTATCTCACATGAAGACAATCAAACATCAAGAAGTCCAAACACAAAAAAAACTGGACCAAAATTAGCCGCTTCTTTTAAGTGTCCAACGACCTTTCCACAAATTCCGAAGGGTTCCAAAGCTTCGGACGGGATGTACCCTGCTTGCCCTGGCATGGTGCGCCTTCTGTAGGTGTTGTGGTCACCCCAGAGGTTGGAGTGGAGCCAGTGGCAGGACGAACCGCAAACCTTCATGGATTTCATGGTGCCAGCCCCGTCAGTTGCCATAAGTTGGGTGGGCACCAGTCGGGCACCAGCTGTGGCACTGAGGTTGTATTTAAATCGGAAGAAGCTCACTGCAACATCAAGGGAATCCAAAGTAGTCTCGACTCCAGAGCTTTTGTTGTGAAGTGCTTCCAATATCACAATACTTTCCTGAAAATGAAGACCTCAAAAAGCCTATGCCTCCTGGTTCAGTCAACTGCGACAGAGTTGCAGCTAGGCCACTCCAATTTGTATCTAGGATACGCATCAGCGGGCCACATCCTGCAACTTCCAACGGAAATATCGGAAATGATTGTGTCTGAAAATGGCGAAATATGGCGATTTCACCCTTTTTTAAGCTGCAATTTGGATGTGGAAAATGATGACCATCATTGACAATCTAATAAACCAGTGGATTTAGGGGTCCCGTATTCTCAGATTTCTCAGTCACATCCTTGCTTGATCAGCGCCTGGATGCCACCCTTCCTGCCCAGTGTCCTGTCTAACTCTTTGGCCGCCATCTCCAACGACTGGTAGTCTTCGTTGCAAAGCTCTGCACTGAGCATCCTCATTTCTTTTCACAAAATGAAGCTCCTGTACACTGGACAAATTGGGAATGTAAATGATTAAATGGTCCATTTCTCTATGGATTCCTGTGGATTCCAAGAATTGTAGTGAAACCACCCCCAATCAGCAAACTCCCATCATTGGGGTCAGCTGCTACGCACATGGTGAGCTCTCGCGGGATGAATTTGTGTATCCTGCACCATATTAAGATATGCCATCGTATCGGTTTGTCCAAAACTAGAGGGGTACCCCTGAAACCCGATGGTTTATCATGATTTCCCCGTGTTTCAAGCTGGCCAATTTCATTGTATGCCCATGGGTATCCCCCTGACTGGCCCCGTTTTTTTCCACGACCAAGGCACGCATTCAGCTCCTGCAGCAGTCTCTCACGAACCGAGGATAAGCTGCGAAAGCCTTTCTCCTTAAGCAAGTCTTGAAAGCGCTCCAGCCTCGGCATCCAGACAAGGGATGCCTGGAAGGGAATTTTCGATGTCAGCAAGACGGGGAAATTTGACCAAAATAATAATGAGTTGTGGCCAACAAAAAACCTTGGGATGGGTATCTTCTGACATAGCCATGCCAAAGTTTGAAACAGCGCAACCTTTGAGCATCCGAATTCATTTGCATGCAGCAGCTAGTAAATAGAGGACCTATCCCTGAAATCTTCCAAAAAACATCATGCTTGCCATGACCGTCGAGTACCTATGCATAGGGCATACACATATTCTGTACACGTTCTGAAGGTTCAACTAACACAGGCCATGGTCTGTCTATTTTCAGGGTGCCCTTCTCAGGTCTCCAGTGTCTCCAGTGAGCCGTGCGACTGATATGTAGAAAGCCATTGTTCCACCTGAGCTGGGCTAATCCCCGGCCGTGCCGAGGCCGTCAAAATGACTATTATGTCTCTGCCAAATTGGGTTCAAAGGGGTTGGGAAAATCCAAGATCATTAAAAAAGAAAAACATCAACCATCATATTCAACTCATCCATCTTGGAGAAGGAGATACACTTAAGCGAGCCTGCCACGATTTCCCCTTACGCCCAGCCTCATCAGCATCAGAGATCTCCGGCCCTTGCCGAACTTCTATCAGAGAATCACCGATCCTGTGATCGGCACATAACGCCCAGTTTGCCCCGCAGTGGGGACAAAACAAGGTGCCATGCATTGATTAAAAATGAAGGCCGGTGAAGGTAAAAGTTAGAAATATTCAAAAACATTCCCAATATCATTCCCAATGGTGATATCATTCCCAAATATGAATATTATTAAAGCAATATCATATCCACCATTCCCAATCATGACCAAACAAGATTATGAGGTTTCCTTGCCACAGTTCTACCGTGAAACCGCCACATTGCAATCTCTTCTCAGTGGTACCCCACTTGAAAACCGGAGAATGAACCTCAGTTTAGCAACTCAGAAGCAACATCTCAATATTGTGTTGGGCCAAATTCCCCAAACCCAATTTCTGGTTGTGGCTGTATAATACAGTAATCCCCAAGAAGCTAGAAAAGTAAAATCCTATTCAAATCCTTATAAATGAGTGTTCTATCTTTTTGGGGGTTGATTTAATAATTAGTAAGGCGGATTTCCAATGCCGTCCCTATGCTACTAGTCCTGATTTCTTGCCCTGGAGCAATCTCCACGGACCGATTCCATCTTATCCGGACCTTGGGCCAAGGTCTAAGGTCCAAGATCGATATGGATTCTGCCCGCTGATCCTGGAGTTTTCTCTCACCAAAATGAATTTCAAAATAGAATTTTACCCAGTGGAATAAAGAGTTTGCCTGTTGAAATGGGAACACTAGCCGACAAAAGCGGGTACAAGTTGGCCAGCATACCAACAAACGCTGTTGATCACAAATGGATTTGCTCAAAAACTCTGTAACTTCAGATATCTATGGGTTCTGAAAATCATGTAATTACATGTAATTACCCCTATTTTCCAATGGATTAGACAATAATTATCCCATGATTCCTGGCCGAAAATTCAGGGGACTCCTCCAGGATCCCGCACCCAGGTGCCGTCAGTACTTCCGGCATCCTGAGGGGGTGAGCCAAGCGCTTGGCGTTGAAAAACGAAAGATATTCCAACAACAAAATCATGAAACAACAACGATGGTAATAAGATGTAATAAGCAATGGTAATATTAAGCACAAGAATTGGCAACCAATCTGGTTTGTTTCAAGCCGGAATGGACAGAAATTCAGACTTTGGCATGTCTTCTGGACCTATCTGAAAGCCAGAGATCTCAGAAATTCGAAGCGCGCTGCCCCGCGCCCCGTAGGCGCCGGTGACTGACTCTGAGACTCCAGCCCTGAGAAAGTACTGACAAGTCGCAGCAGTGAACCTCAGGTTGTGTTGACCAGTTTTTGGGCGTCAAAACCTTGGCCAAAATAGCTGTTGATTTTCATGGATGTTTATTCCCGAAAAGGTATTAGGTAATTTTATAGGTTTTGACCCATCCCCATATCCATGTAATTATATATATATATACACATAGTATTATCTATTCGCTTTATCCCAGTAGTTATCCATCCCATTGTTCTCCCAGTTGTTATCCCATTTGTATCATGTTATATCCATTTACAAACTCAGAAATGGCGTAAACCATCAATAAATATCTAATCTATAAATGGGATTTCACAACAATTATCTGGGGTTTTTCAAATGCTTTACTGGCTGGCCTGCAGATACAAACAACAATCAAACAACTCCACCCCTGAGCCCGTGCGCTTGATTTCAGCATGGGAGGGAGACAGCCCGGCGTTCTCGATGTACATCGTCACTGCCTGTTTCAACCACGACCCCGAACAGCTCCCGGGGTGATGGGATCCTACAGATCCGGATCCAAACCCATGTGGCCATTGGTATCCATTGATATCCAAGGGACTGGGACTTACAGATCTTGGTGACTTGGTATCAAAGTACTCCAAGGAATTACTCCAACTGGATCCAGGAAGAACGTAAAAAAAAAAAAAAACGTTCCAGCCAACACGTCTGGTGCAGTGCATGCTGGACATGTGGACCCCCGGAAGCCTGGCAAATGTTAAGTTGAGGTATTTATGTTCCTTTTTGTTTTTCCATGAAAGTGAATTTGCACCTCTACGTCCACTTTATTATACTGTACATTTTAAGTTGGGATGGTCGGATGTTCCATGCCATCACCTGGGTCCAAAAGGTAGCATCCTCCATTCCATCCAGAAGTTTGTCAGCTCCTTTTCCCCATCAGTTACAGTACCTTTAATTGCCTTTATGTTTCTGATTTTTCAAGATTTGTCATGTCCATACTGTGGATGGTTGAGAAATCCTGCAACCCACCTACCCTCTGGCAATTTAACGTAGCTATTGAAAATGGCCATTTATAGTGAGTTTTCCCATTAAAAATGGTGATTTTCAATAGCTATGTTAGTTTACCAGAGGGTAAAGGATGGTTGAAACCCCATAAATCATGGGATCAACATGGATCAACCACATCCCTCAACTGGTGCAGGATCTCGCAACCATCTGCAGATCTGGGCCACGGGACGTTGCTGTTCCGGTCGCTGCCGAAGAGCTCTCCCTGGGCCGTCCGGTTGATGTAGATGAAGCGCCCAGCGAAGAGGCCCTGGCATATGGTGAATCCGCAGGTATCCAGTTGGATCCATAAACAATGCTGGTGAAATGTGGTGAATCATGGTGAATCATGGTCATTAGTGGTTAAATCCATGTTAAATCCATATGTAGTTGGCCGCTTGTAGAACGCCGCCTGCTTTCGCGCGTTGTCTGTCTCGGTGGGGTGGGTGATAACGTCATGTTCACACTGCGTCTAACACGCTCTTGCTGCTGCTGCTGCGTCTCTTGATGCAACGCTTTGCACTTCTTCAAGTAACTTCACGTCTCTTGATGCAACGCTTTGCACTTCTTCAAGTAACTTCACGTCTCTTGATGCTACGCTCTGCGCTTCTTCAAGTAACTTCACGTCTCTTGATGCTACGCTCTGCGCTTCTTCAAGTAACTTCACGTCTCTTGATGCTACGCTCTGCGCTTCTTCAAGTAACTTCACGTCTCTTGATGCTACGCTCTGCACTTCTTCAAGTAACTTCACGTCTCTTGATGCTACGCTCTGCACTTCTTCAAGTAACTTCACGTCTCTTGATGCAACGCTTTGCACTTCTTCAAGTAACTTCACGTCTCTTGATGCTACGCTCTGCGCTTCTTCAAGTAACTTCACGTCTCTTGATGCTACGCTCTGCGCTTCTTCAAGTAACTTCACGTCTCTTGATGCTACGCTCTGCACTTCTTCAAGTAACTTCACGTCTCTTGATGCTACGCTCTGCACTTCTTCAAGTAACTTCCCGTCTCTTGATGCTACGCTCTGCACTTCTTCAAGTAACTTCCCGTCTCTTGATGCTACGCTCTGCACTTCTTCAAGTAACTTCACGTCTCTTGATGCTACGCTCTGCGCTTCTTCAAGTAACTTCACGTCTCTTGATGCTACGCTCTGCACTTCTTCAAGTAACTTCCCGTCTCTTGATGCTACGCTCTGCACTTCTTCAAGTAACTTCCCGTCTCTTGATGCTACGCTCTGCACTTCTTCAAGTAACTTCCCGTCTCTTGATGCTACGCTCTGCACTTCTTCAAGTAACTTCCCGTCTCTTGATGCTACGCTCTGCACTTCTTCCGTCTCTTGATGCTACGCTCTGCACTTCTTCAAGTAACTTCACGTCTCTTGATGCTACGCTCTGCACTTCTTCAAGTAACTTCACGTCTCAAGTAACTTCACGTCTCTTGATGCTACGCTCTGCACTTCTTCAAGTAACTTCCCGTCTCTTGATGCTACGCTCTGCACTTCTTCAAGTAACGTCTCTTGACGCTACGCTCTGCACTTCTTCAAGTAACTTCCCGTTCTTGCTACGCTCTGCACTTCTTCAAGTAACTTCCCGTCTCTTGATGCTACGCTCTGCACTTCTTCAAGTAACTTCCCGTCTCTTGATGCTACGCTCTGCACTTCTTCAAGTAACTTCCCGTCTCTTGATGCTACGCTCTGCACTTCTTCAAGTAACTTCACGTCTCTTGACGCTACGCTCTGCACTTCTTCAAGTAACTTCACGTCTCTTGACGCTACACTCTGCACTTCTTCAAGTAACTTCTAATGAAAGGGAATGTGGGATCCAAGCTGCACCCCCGAGATCGATACATTGGTCAAACAATGGTTGTACAGAATGTGGACGCCAGGTGCAGCAAGATGTCTATAGAAATTCGACTCAAGTCCTGCAAGGCATGTGAAACAAGAGAAGTACAGTCTTACAAGAAGAAATTGAAAAAACAAAGTAGTTTGTCGCAGGATTTCAGAGAGTCAAAAAAAGGGACCAAAGCACAACATATTTAGAAAACACAGACAAAATGAACTCGCCACGGTTGGAAAAACAGGCGACGTTCTGTGAGCCGCTTACCATGTAGTTATATCAAGTGGATCTATTACATAAAGGAAATCCTCTCGAGTTGAGATTTCATAGAATGTGGATCAATCATGTCGAATTGGGAAACATCCCATAAAAGTATAACTGCAAGCCACATTCTCTCATACATCGTATAGCTATTGAGATGTTCAAAAAAAAGTTGCAAAAATATTGTGTTTTTCCCATTTTCAGGTTTGTTTGCAAGAAAAGTAAAGACTGTATATACCTATCTGGTTAGTGGTTGGCTTGCTTCAATGCTCTCAAGGGTCTGCCTTGATTTCAAAATCATCCTCTTAAAATGTGTTTGAACGTGAATAAGTATTTAACAGCTCAACACTTTGTTTGGACCTTCGATTGCATCATTTATCCACCTTTTTGGAATGGGTTGCAGCCGAATTGTGGCTGGTCATATCTCCATTTTTGGCCGTTTCTCTGGATGAGGTCTCAGGCGCCTGAACGCACCTTGCTACGAAGTCAACAGGCCCAGCGCTGATTTGCTCCATGCCTTGGCATTTTTTGGCAACAAACGGCTGGGTCAAGAACGGGGACCTCTGATTTTCCCACAGGTCTGTCAGGTCTGTCTAACTGGGATACCCATGGATACCCCAAGTTATGGCCAATTTAAAAGGAGTGCATGTGATTCTTCAAATTAACCCAGTTTTGCAATCCCCAACAAGCACGGCTGTGGGGGACTGGACAGCGAGTTTCCTCTGCACTAGGATTCTACCCAGAAGTTGTTGTAAACATGATTCATAAGGGGATTTCATCAGGCATTCTGATGGTCTTATGATTTGCGTGGCTATTGTAAAATGGATCAAAATAGGATCATCGGAAATACTGCCAAGTTTCAGGGGATTATCAAGCCATCCCATAGCCCCATAGCCCCATAGCCATCCCATAGACCCCATATTGCGCAAGGCTTTGGGGCATAGTTGGCATAGTTCGCTTCGAAAACCGTGTTCAGCCTGCTCGGTTCATGTCAACAATTACCCCCAAAAAAAAAAGGAAAACGGAGAATTTTGGGGGTCGGCAAAAAATCATTGGTCTTCCTGGTCGTAACCATCGACTCAAAAATCGGCCCATGACTCTGAAGATGGGCATAAACCTATGATACCATGTTCGAAAGGTAATCCAGTTTGCTGAGCCTCCATAATCTTCCATCATCTTCCCATCTGCCATTTTTTCCACCGATCGAACCAATGATTTGAAATAGTTTAAACCCTCATTTTGTCCCATATTTCGGCATTTCTCGACTATTTCAATCACCCAAACTTTGGCTAAGTCCTAAGTCCCCATGGTTTCCCCATAGTTTCATTTTTCTGGACATTTCCTGGACATGTTCTGCATCTCAATTCCTGCCATGGCACGAACTCGCTCCATCCCCTTGGGGGACGCCAAGGGAGCCAGGGCATCGGCCTCGGCCTCGGCCTCTTCGGCCGGGCGATCATCTTCGCCTTTGCCATCGGAGTGAATGGCAACTGCCACGGAAAGAATGATTTATGCATAACTTATATGTATACATATACATATACATATACATATACATATACATATACATATACATATACATATACATATACATATACATATACATATACATATACATATACATATACATATACATATACATATATACCGTTAAAAACAAAGTTAGAATGCGGTTTTGGCTTCGCGTGATGGTGGCCCGTTTGGCCCCCCCCCCACGGCAGTCGCATTCTAACTGAGGAAACACCTGTAAATATGCAGAAACACAGTTAGAATGCGGCGCCAAAATTGGTAAGAAAATGTAAGTTTTGACTGGTATTTTACAGGCGAAATACAGTTAGAATGCCTCCTCCTTTTCTTCTATATTGTTCCTTGCCCTTCCTTTTTTTCTATGTATTTTTCATTGATCTATATCTGCTGTAGTTTCCGGGGGGCATTTTATCTGTTGTTTTTT